TTCCTGAATCCGTTTGCATATTTTTCACATTTTTTCCTTGTTTTCCTGCTGATCGGCATTTCGACGCCGGTCGCACTTCAGACTTGGAAGTTTACCAACGCCCGGGCTGAAATTGATTTTGCGCTTAATTACAGAGCAGCTCGCTCACTTAAATTGCAGTCAGTTTATTGTCCTATCGCTTACCAGGCGTCGCACTTTAAACTCAATCAATAAATCAAGTATACGTTCCGAACATCTTTGGATAGTCTCAAAGACACACATACACAGACGCACACACACACTCGGCCAAACTGTGAGGGACTCATCTGTTGTAGCTGCTTTGTTTGCCTTAATTTGTGGTTAAAGCAATTTGAGCCTACACAATAGTTTCACTTACCAGCTCCTTAATTATCGTTGTCATGCTCTAACTGTCACTGACAAGTATTCATAACAAAGCATTATCTAGAGCTTTACAGCTGGCATTGCATTACCCATTTAATTGTCGTCAGTGCATTGCGCAGATAATTCAAACACTCGAGGGAATTTGTGCCTCAAATTTGTCTTTTACCTCAAATGCAAGCAGTTATATAAGCATTTGTATTATTATTTCGATTGCTTATTGTATTCATATTATTCAAGTTAACTATGCATTAAGCTAGCTAATTAACCAGCTGATCAAGACTCTCAGAGAGAGCAGCCTAAGCTGAGGTCTAAGTGTTTCATTTGACAATGCTTTTTGGTTTGCAGTTTACAAACTTTGTCAGGAATTGATTATTACTAACATGATAAAATAATTGTCGTGCCATATCATCTTGCTTATTCGAGTTGACAACCAGAGATATAGAATAGTAAATATAATAAATATATGTACGCCCACACGGGGGGCGTGGCAAGCCACAACTATTCATTTACTTAAAGTGTTAAAACTATAAGCTCAAAAATAAAATGTTCACTTCATTGAGGGCGTTGCCCATCGAATATACCCTGTAATTTTCACAGGTTTAAGGGTCAAAATTGTAATGTTATATCATATTAGTTATTATATTATATTAAAGTATTCAATTACACCTTAGGTAGGTAAGTAAGGTTGTACCCGACTGCCCCATTCCTATTTAAGTCTTAAAAAAAATCTGACTTTGTGCTCCTTGACTCGACTCGAAGACTACCACAGCAACTTTAGTCATTCATTGTATTAATTTCCATTTCTTATCGATTGAATTCGTCGTTGCTCAATCAGTGCGCTGTATTTACATTTGGGGAGTACGTCAGCTAAAAAATTTAGTCAGATTATCCCATCTAGTCATAGTTATTAATTAACAGTGAGTGTAATTAATGATGTACTGTGCTTGGAGAACATCCATTGGGTATCGAATCCCTGCTTTGACTTTTAATAACGTGTCATTAGACATTAGCCGATGGTATCAGCGTGAGGAGCATTAGACAAATAACATGAGTTAGCATATATCGGAGGAATTCAGGCCTGGCCCAAATCGTATTAATTAAATGTGAATGAAAACAATATAATAAATGCCAAGCAATTACTCAGTCCAGTCTGTCCCTTCGGAGCAGTGTCCCAAGACTGCAAAAACAAAAGAAACTGAAATGCTGTGCATGTCAAGACACACACACACACACATCACACACACACGCAGATTTGGGCAATCAATCAATGCGTCTCACAATCAATCAAGCCGGCCGGGGAGACACAATAGATCTGGCCAGTCAGTCAAGATTTGTTGGCAGATTCAAAATCAAATGGCTAAGAAGCAGTCAAAATATGCTGCATAAAGTGCTTTAAGGCCGAGTTGATTCTGTAGGCCAAGTCACAATTACGGTGAGTCAATAACGGTAAAGAAGCGGCCCAAATGACACACGCCAAAGCGCTGCTCAGGCTTCAATGCTGACCGCCAATGCCTTTGGCTATTAACAGTTTGTCCAAAAAATATGAACACACGCACGGACACACACACATCTCATACATACATACAGTGAGTGCTAATGGCGTCTTGGCGGGCATAATTACAAATTGACTCAATTTCCGTTTGAAGTTTTTGATGGTTTTATTGATTTTGTGGAGTCACGCAACTTCCCTTTATAAGGGATAGGCAGAGCAAGCCGAAGGCCTCGAGTCCTTTGCTACGTAGCTGTAAAATTTGTTGCCTAATAATAATCAGAAATCATCAATATTTAACAGCTCCTCTAGTTGTATAGGCCCACACAAACACAAACACACACACACACATACATACTCTACTTTCAATTAGGTCGCCGCACATGAAGCTCAACACAAAGACCTGGACTAGAGAGGGTGAGAGGTAGGGAGTTAGGGATGGGGCCTGGCTGCAAGTAGCTGCTGCGGCTGCTGCTGACTAAGCACAATGACAACGTCATGAAGTTTAAGTGAGTGCTTAAAAGTCTAGCAAGGCTGACTCACATGTGTGGCTGGGCGCGTCTCCGCAATTTGCATATCTTCGTGTAAACGGGCTGATGGGGACGCTGGCGAGAGCGACGGCAATGCGCTCCATTTACGCAGCGGCAACGACTTAGCCCGGCTGTTAGCCACGACTTAAACTTATTGGATTTGCCGGTTAACAAACTATGTGCTTTGCCACTCGTAATTAGCCGCAAGTAATTAATGTCTTGCCACAGACTCGGCCACCGCTCGGTGGTAAGGGCTCGGCGAATAATTGAGTGCAAAAGAGACACGTGACAGAGAGGGAGAGTGGGAGAGAGAGACGGAGAGAGAGTTCAGCCTGAAAACGATTGCACTGAACTTGACACATCCACATATCCAGGTTGGCAGATGCCACGCCATCTGGCTGAGTGAGAGAGAGAGAGAGCGAGAGAGCCTGGGCACCGAAAAAATGTTGCATACATTTCATGCCAAGAGAGCTGAGGGAATCAACCTAATTGGTTTTTTTATATACATATACATATACATATACATATACATATACATATACATATATATTATTTTTTTCTTGCTTTTGGCACTTTATGCATCCATTTGCTGCTGACCAGGCCTTAGGCACGCAATGCATTTACCCATACACACACACACACAAACAGACACACATACACAAACTACAACTGTATCTACATAAATACATAGTTAGGCGCAAGAAATATTTTTGGGGGCACAAGGCAACAACAATGTTAACGCCAATTGCACAGCGGCCTGGCTATTATTGAATACACTTGTTCAGCTCGGCGCAATGGCCGGCGTGACGCCCCCTTTTAGCCATTGCCGGCCGCACGCAATGGGGCGGACACAGCGGCAACGAGAGCTATAAGTGTGTTAATAATGCCCCAAGTATTGTGGAGTTGTAAATTATTTACGAGCGTAGTCATATTTGGTTATGCACTTGGAGCACAGCAACAACAACAACAAAATAGAAGGAAATGGGCCACAGAGTGCTGCAGTTGATGTTAATGCTCGACTGTGAGGCACTCCCCTTTCTCTCTCTCTCTCTCTCTCTCTCTCCTTCTCTCTTTCCCTGTCCCTCCACTATCTAGACTTTTGCATAAATTCAATTATTAGAGAGGGCATACAAATAGTAAACAAAAGTAAGTGAGTAAAAGTATGAACTAAAATTGTTATAAACGGACTTTTATAGTTGAATGGCAGCGAGCGAAAACTTGAGAAATAAACAAAGTGCAAAATGCTCAAGGGCTCGCCGAATATGTATATGTATGTGTGTATATAATAATGCCTATTTGGCTAAGAGAATGGGCAAGTGGAGCTGGCGTTTGAGCACAAAACTTTGGCGACAGCTGCAAAACTTTGACAAAGTTGCACAACATCAACAGCAAAGCAGCAACAATAGCAAACAGCAACAGCAACAGCAAACAGCAATAACAACTATAATAATAATAATAATAATAATAATAGTAATAAGAGAGATGAAGCTCTGGAGATGCACAGCTTAGGCAGAAACCCGAACGGAAAGCGAACCCAACATATGTCAAACTTTGGCAATTTCGAGCATTTTTCTTCTCTTTTCTTTTTTTTTTTTTACTCTTTGCTGCTTTGCTGTGGGCGTACATGATTTTTGGCAAACCGCAGCACAAGACTCAAGTGTGCACTTGGCCAGCACTGGAGCCGGCTCTGGCTCCGGCTCTGGCTCTGGCTCTGGTCCTGTTCCTGGTCCTGGTCGAGAGTGTGGTGTCGGGATTTGCCTTTGGGGTAGCCGGCCACAGCCAACGCTAAGTTGCTTGCCCATTAAAAACTTCGTTGTGTGCTGTGGATGGCAGCAGCAGCAGCAGCAGCAGCAACAACTTCATTTAAAGTGAATTTTTGTTTGCTATAGCCAAACCGAGACCTCAGTCACAGCCCCGCAGCCCCTCAGCCCCTTAGCCCCTCACTGCTGCATTTGCTCTGAAAAATCAAAGTTGTGCATTGTTGTAGCTGGCGTGTGACATCATCAACGTCACGTGCCCGCCCGCCTGGTTTCAGTTGGGTTCAGCGCGGTACAGTTGCCACACAGAGTTGCCTTTGCATGACGCCCCATTCGGTCGGTCATCGGGCCCCCAGCCCCACACGAGCTCACTGTGACGTGGCAGTGACAGAAATTGCAGTTCGGTAGAAATGGCGAAAAAAAAAATGTCAGACTTTGTAACGAAATAATTATTGCACAGTTTGTGGGCCAAGTCTTGCGCAATTTGGCCAAAATGTCACCGATAAGAGTAGCGAGTCGCGAGTTTGATTGAAGTCCGCCAACGCTGTGCCTGCTGAGCCGGGCCATTTAGGTCTGCGAAATTGACTTAATTAATGCAAAACGAAAGCAAAGTCTTTTAGCGACGCTTAAGTCGCTTGGAGATGGGGGATTAGGTGCTGGGCGAGGGTGGGGAGGCTAGGCAACTAGCGACAGCTGCGGGCTGTCGCAGCCGTAGTGACAACAATTTGCTTAATTTATGCAACAACGCGTTGCACTTTAGAGTCGCATTTGCATTAAGCTCTCGGAGCATACATTAACTGAGCGGAAACTAAATGGGAAAACTTGTTCTGTTTACCTTTGCAGGAAAATGGAAGATCAGTTCCTGATGTTACAGCCAGTCCGGGCCGCGCGCCCCCCGGCCCGCTGCCCGCCAACCAGCTGTCCGGCATGGGCAACCAGCAGCAGCACCACCTCCATGCCAACCAGCAGCAGCAGCAGCAACAGCAGCAGCAGCAGCAGCAGCACCATGGCAACCAGCAACAGAATCGCGGCCAGAGCGGAAACACAAACGGCTCAGGTGGCGTCAAGGATCCGGTGCTGCTCCAAGGTGACTTTCGCAAGGTCAGCGGCATCAGCTCGGAGATCTTTCGGCAGATAGAAGCTGTTGAGAACGATCATGACCCGAACACCGCGGCGGCACTGGAGGCAGTGGAGCGCCGTGGCGAGATGATCGTGCGCATCCTGGAGCCACGCTCCATGGGCAGCAAGCACGCTGTAGATGCGGCGCACAAGCTGATGAACAAGGCCGATGGCCGGCACACCGTGCAGCTGGTCGAGATTGTGAAGCGGCCCGGTCAAACACTGGGCCTCTACATACGCGAGGGCAACGGCGCCGATCGCACCGACGGCGTCTTCATATCCCGCATCGCCCTCGAGTCGGCCGTCTATAACAGCGGCTGCTTAAGGGTAAGTAATATCGATAATATAAACTGGGATAATTTATATCGTAGTAAAGAACATTTATTTTTCGAGCAGAAATAGAAAAGTACATATTTTTCATCTATTTCAGTTTTCATTCATTTTCATTTTCTTTTGCTTTGCCTTCAAGCTCAGATCCTCTTGGTCCTCCTGCTGCTCTTGACCAGAATCGGAGTCCATGTAGCTATCATTCATGTCACTTTCGCTATACTTCCGCTTATCGGACGGTGTATCCGGCTGCGAATCGCTGTCATCAGTAAAGTCATCCATATCCGAGTCGTCACGATCCTGTGGTGGGCTCTCCATCTTCTGTTCGAGGGCAATTTTTGAGATGCTCTCCTCAGAGTCAGCCTTGAGCAGCGCATCCTGTTTCCCGTTAGTTGTGTTTTCCTCAGTCTTCTCCAATTTGTCTGCAATTTGGTCAATTGGCTTCTGCAATTCCATATCGACTTTCTTTTCCTGAATACGATCCTCCTGCTCGAGCTTTTCCCGTGCTGTCGGCAGCCGAGTGGGAGAGTTCGGCCCTGTAGGCGAATAGGGTGGCTCGTTTTGGGCTTTTTCGGCCAGTTGGAGCTGCGCTTCAAAGTCAATGGTCGCAGCTGTTTGAGAACGCTTCGTTTTGGACTTAGGCTGCTTATCCTCAGACCCCTCACATTTGTTGTCGACAATTACCGCTTCATTCACTTTCTTGGCTGCCTTACTCTGGCCCTTCTTCGATTTGGATGACCTTCTGGTCTTGGGCAATGGAACTGCCTTACTCGCATTTTCCATGTACTTGCGGTAGAAGTCATTCGTTTCTGGTGAAACAAATCCATAGTCATTGAAGTCTGGATCATTGGGCCCTTCCAAGAAGACCCCATTACTGAGAGGCTTCAATGGAATATTGGACTCCTTATTTGTATCGTCAGACATTTTTTCCCTTTTTTCATTCGTTGAATTTATAAAATTATTTCATACAGTCACATATAACTATGGCTTATAGACACATGAACTGACTTTATTTGATAAGTTTGTGCGACTATGAGATTTTATGCTTACGTTGATTTGATTTTTTTCACGACGTTTCAAACTGAGTTCTATTGAATTCCCCGCCCCATTATTTGTGGGATTTACATTTTTAGATTTATCATAAACGAATTATGCTTTTCAGGTGGGCGACGAAATCCTGGCCGTCAATTTGGTGGATGTCACTCATATGTCGCTGGATGATGTCGTCATCATTATGTCAATTCCTCGGCGCCTGGTGCTGGCCATACGGCAGAGGCGGGGCAATCGTGGCGCTGGGTCACCGGGGCCGCCAACACTGTCGAGGCCGGAGCAGAAGCCCCCACCGGTGGTGGTCATCAAGCGTGATATCAGAGACGAAGACCTGGACGAAACCGATCGAATGCCGCGCCCGCGTTCATCACGTGAAAGACGTACAGGTAGTTTAAAGTGAGCGCCGTGTTTAAAATGCTAATCGGTGTCCTTCTCTTTCTCTCTCTCTATTCCCTTGTCCGCCTCTAGGCGACGGCCGAGAGATGACCGAGTCGCGCTCCAGGCTGGGGCTGGGCCTCAACAACTACAGTCCGCAGTCGGAGCAGCTGGACATGTACTACAATACACGGGGAGGCGTCAATGCCATGGGCGAACCACCAAACTGGGGCTACAAGCCGCCGCCGCCACCATCGTCGGTCATCACGGAGCAGCCCACCAAGGGGCATGCGTTTGCGCCTTCGCACGCCTACTATCAGAACGCTGGCACGCTGGAGAGCCTGGCGGAAAAGGTTCATGCATTTTATCCGGGCGCACCGGGGCAGCCGCTCGGCCCTTCGCGCCGCATGTCCACGGGCACTGGCAACGTGGGCTTGGCCCAGCAGCACGCCCGGTTTCCGCGCTCTGGTTCCGATCAGCATTTGCCGCGAGTCGAGTACGCTGATTACTCCAACTCACTGGGCCGCCACTCGCTGCTGCGCTCGAGCTTAAAGCCCGGAACGGGTGCGCCAATGCCAGTGGGGGTTGGCGGCACGTTGGGTCGCTATGGGCGCTACGATCAGCAACGCGGCGGGGTTCCGAAGTACGGACCGCCAGCAGCGGGCGCACAGTCCCTCACCCGTCGCTCGCGACCCAATCTGGACTACTCCAGCGACACCGAAGCCACCATTGGGCCGCGGCCCAGCTACTACTACTATAACCGGCCTGCCATAGGCAGCATGCCGCGTGGCTCAAGCGGCGTGGGAGGCAGCGGAGCCGCTGCAGCCGCAGCTGCCATGCTGGCCGGTGGCCCAGATCTCAACAAATTCAACTCACTGCCAAGGGAGCGACCTGGCGCCAGGCTACAGGGCATTCGGGCGCGCATAGGCGATCGCATTCTGGACGAGAATGATGGCAACATCTCGGCGCCCGAGTATGATGCGCGGCGTGGGCGTGACCTGCGCCAACGCATTACGGCCAGCCCCGGCCCCTCCATCTTTACGGCGGACGAATACCGTGCGTGGCTGAGGCGCGCCCCCAGCAGCTCTGCGATTGCAGAGCAAATGCGCATGACTCGGGACATGTTCGCTCAGCCGCGCTCACATCGCTTCTCCTGCAGTGCGGAGAACATTCACGATGCTCTGCGGAATGTAAGTAGAGCACCCGGAATCGCAGCTGATCTCTCACTCTCTCTCGCTCTCTCGACCTCTTGTTAATGCTGTACATTTTATTTACAGACCGAAAGCATTTACTCCAGCAGAACGGGCATACTTGGCACTGGCACCCTAGACCGTAATCTGGGTCTAACCCGACCCATATCAGCACTGCCCGTGCGTTCCATGTCCTCGCAGCACATAGGTGGCGCTGGTTCAATACGCTCACCCAGCATCCGGCGCATGCGCCAGCTCCTGGAACTATCTGCTGGCCCAGCTAGTCCTAGTGGCAGCATCATGAGCACAGCCGGCCATCAGAGTCCGGCGCCCACGCCCAGTGCCACAATGCCACGAGCGCATCGGCAGATCGACATCAATCCGGCGGAGTTCGCCAAGTACAAGTTGGACAAGCCCATTGTGGACATTGGCGGCGTCTCGGGCATGCTGTGGATACATCTGCTGGCGGGCCGCGGATTGCGCTCGACTCCAGAGCAGGGCGCACAGCTTGGGGCAGGCGGAGCACCGCTCCCACAGACCAGAGATCTCTACTGCGTGATTGAGTGCGACCGCGTGCATAAGGCGCGCACGGTGGTGCGCTCGGGAGACTTGCAATTCGATTGGGACGAGTCCTTCGAGCTCGACCTGGTGGGCAACAAGCAGCTGGACGTGCTCGTCTACTCCTGGGATCCGCAGCACAGGCACAAGCTCTGCTATCGCGGCGCCATATCGCTGTCGGCGGTGTTGCGGCAGTCGCCTCTGCATCAGCTGGCGCTCAAGGTGGAGCCGCGTGGCACAGTCTACATCCGCATGCGGCACACCGATCCCCTGGCGCTGTATAAGCGTCGCGGTCTGCCCAGCCTGCGTGCCGGCTATCCCACGCTATTCGGCGCCGACCTGGAGACGGTGGTCAACAGGGAGTCGAAGAACGTGCCCGGCTGTGCACCGGTGCCAATTGTTCTGCGACGTTGCGTGGAGGAGGTGGAGCGGCGAGGCCTCGATATAATCGGGCTGTACCGCCTGTGCGGATCGGCGACCAAGAAGCGTTTACTGCGCGAGGCCTTCGAGCGCAACAGCCGAGCTGTGGAATTGAGCCCGGAACACGTTCCTGATATTAATGTTATTACCGGCGTCCTCAAGGACTACCTCAGAGAGCTGCCCGAGCCACTGTTCACGCGCTGTCTCTTCCAGATGACGGTCGATGCATTGGGTGAGCCGGCTAAAAATCGAATTCCAGAAATTCCTTCCCTAATCATTCCACCTTTCCAGCTGTCTGCCTGCCAGATGATCCTGAGGGAAATGCGAAACTGATGCTTAGCATACTCGACTGTTTGCCACGGGCGAATAGGGTGAGTCTAATCTCAACGTGAGTCTCTGCTGGGTAAATCTGAAAATGTTGTTCGACTATCAATAGGCCACCTTGGTGTTCCTGCTTGACCACTTGTCTCTGGTTGTGTCCAATGCGGAGCGCAATAAGATGTCCGCTCAGGCGCTGGCCACTGTGATGGGTCCCCCGCTGATGCTGCATTCGGCCAGTGCACAGCCTGGCGCTGACATTGATCACGCCCAGCCGATTGCGGTGCTCAAGTATCTGCTGCAGATCTGGCCGCAGCCGCAAGCCCAGCAGGCGCAGCATCAGCAGCTGGCTCAGCACATGGGCGGCATGGCCACAGCTAGCAGCATGAGCAACATGGCAGGTGTTGCTTCAGGTAACGTAATCATTGTGTCAATTATGCAATCCACACCAATGTCCAGTGCCCAGTATCCGCCGACAACACACGAATACTCTGACCAAAACACACACACGGACCAACACACACACACACACACTGACAGTCGCGTGTTTTTATAGTGGCACGATAAACACTTGCAAGAGTTTTCTTTCCGCTTTGAATGTGCAGCAGCAACAACAACAGCCCCCGTTTCTTATTCTTATTCGGTGTCTTTGCAATAGCGGCACAGAAACCGTTTCCATTTCAAATGTCACGCATACACACACACACACACACTCACACACACACCCACACTCACACACACAGACATAGACATTGACACAACCATACATAGACACACGATCAGCCCCAGTCCCAAAGCCACAAAATGATCGTTCACATTAATATTGATTAATACAGAGTCCTATGTAGACAGGTCGGCGCGGCGAGTCAACAGGGCAGCGTGGAAGCAAAGTCAGTGCGTTGCCAGTGGACAGACAGCAAATACTACTGCAGCAGCAGCAGCAGCTCATGGCGGCGGGCAACCTACTGCGCTCGTCCACTTCGGTAACCAACATACTCTCCCAAGGCCATCATCAGCTCTCAGCCACAGCCAACAGTCATCTGTATCAATCAGTAGTGGGTCAGTTAGCTCAATCGCATCGAGCCTTGCAACAAGCGGTGCAACAGGTAAACAAACAGATACAACAGTAACAACAGCTAACAAACAACAACAACAAATACAAGAACAACTAACAAACATAGCTCAACATAACATAATAAGAAGAGCTTTTGAGAATAACACAAAACTACTACTAACAAATCTTTTACACTAACCATAAACACATGATATGCATTATGTATATATATATATGTTTATATGAATATGTAATATGTATATATTAGAGCTCTGAGAGAAAGATTTCGCTCGCGCAACACATACAAGAGGACGAGTTGTGCCTCATAACATACGGCTTCAGCGCTGTTAAAGGATTTAAAGTAGATAACAGAGTCAGCGTTGCTTCATTTGCATAAATGTTATCTTAACAGACAGCCAACTTTACATTTCATACTGTTACTTCATCGTGCGCCTTAAGTGAATTGAGTGAGAAGTCGATTACTCAGGCAGTCATAAGAAATGAGCGAAGACCACTAAAAGACTGTTAAGAGACTATCACTCAATCGTGATCCGAAGCCGAAAAACGAAAGCCGAAGCCGAAGTGTGTTATGGTTTCCATTACGACAAGGCAACAACAGTTTAAATGGCGATTCGGTAGCCGAAACGCTATCCCTCGTGTACATACATTTCCACTCATTGCTTTCGCTTGAGTGTTGTGCAGCCGATTCTAACGAGAGAGTCCTCCACTCGGCCTCGGATTTTACTCAATGCAATCGCTTTTCCCTCAATGCTCTGCCGTCGAGTCTTATGCGAGCGTATATGTTCACTCCAATACGTATTCAATTTCACTCAACGCAACCTGAGCATACCTAATTTAAAAATGTTGTTTTTTTTCTTTTTTTTGTCTTTAATGCAGTTCTCTAAAATATATTTACATATAGAAGTGTCTACACACATACATTTAAACAAACGCTGCTGGTATACTCACAGTACATTTAAATTTATATACATATATAATTTCAATTTATTTATGCTACTAACCGTAGCTTTCCTTTGCTCGCTCTCTCTGTCTCTTTCTCTGTAAATGATAAATATTTATATTGACCATTCGGTTGCTCATATACTTACATAAATGCATACGTACATAATACTTAATACACACACATACATACATAATATATTTTCAAAAACTACTTTCTTGTTCTTCTAAGTCTTCCTGTTGACCGTTTGTAAACGCGTATCGATATGTACAATATATATGTATATGTGTCAAAGCTGATCAGTTATATAATCTATATATTTATATACATACATATATATGTATTCATATATAAATGCATTTGCTATTGTTGATTTGATTTGTGCTTCTTATGAACTAACCAAATATGAATTCAAGTAATTGTTTTGCCGTCAAACTTTGATCGACGTTGTAATTGTGATATTTATGTATAACTATAAACTATTAACTATAATGATAATGATAACGATAATGATATTGATTATACTGTCAATGATGATGATTTGAGCGATGTGATAAATGTTAACGGCGTGTTCAGCATGATTGGCCCACTACTGGTAAAAATGTAACATAACGAATCTACATACACATATATCTATGTTCTAGAATACCAATGCAAAGTGTACATTCATAATATTTGTATCTATATCGCCCACACGTTCCATTGTACAAAGTTCATGAATCATCGCCCGTATAACTAATGTCCACTTCCCGCAAAAAAAAAAAAAAAACTCTTCAATGATCGTAGTCATATCCAAGAAACTATCAATGAGCACAACAGAGTATTCATAGTATGTAAATGGGTTCATTTAACGAAGAACTGTTTCGATGCCACAAATGCTCCCCCAACATTTCCCCATGAATTGAGAAGGGAAGCGTGTGGACTCCTTGATAAACAGTAGATAAATTGATATACTCTTAAGTTCTGCTCTGTCAACTGCACCTGTTTCAAGGCACTTTGTTTGCATGCCCTCACCTTTCACTCCACTCGCCTTTAAGTTAATCCATTCATCAGAACATCTCAATTGGTTTTCTATTGGCCGCGCCCTATGCCAGATTCCTTCTGTAAAGTGTATGCCTATTGTATATCTGCCACGCCCACACACGCACTATTCACAAAACATAATATCAAATAAAAAGAAAATTCCAAATTATTTCCACACAACGCACTCAGACCCCACAGATACAGGCCCCAAGGTATACACACACACACACATACACAGTTTGGCGTTTGTCCACTCCCAACATTATATGGAATGAAGCTTGCCAATGCAATAACCCATGACACGTATTTCGTTTGCTTCCATTTCTTGTGATCTCTTTCAGCCCTATCAATTGGGGGGCTCAGCGGGCTCAGCAATTCCCGACCAATCGCCACTGCCACTTCCAGGCACACCCTCCCCAGGCAGTAGCTCAGCTTCGACGGGCTCCGGCTCGGGGTCGGGCTCGGGCTCGGGCAAGAGTAAGTGGAGCCAAGGATGCCCAAATAATGTCAATTAATGTCTCGTTTGATTTAGGCACTGATACCATCAAACGTGGTGCTTCGCCCGCCTCTGTCAAGCAAGTGAAAGTCGCAGATACGCTCAGCTCGTACTCTGTCGTGCAGAAGAAGCCCCCACTACAGAAGGATGCACCCATAGAAGAGATTACGCCTCCAGAGGCTAGCGCTAGCGCCGGCGCCAGCGGAAGCGCCGCCAGCTCGACCAACCGCAAGGGCGTCGACTTCTACGAACCGCACAACTCGCATTCCAAGAGCTTGGCCAGCGACGAGCCCTACACATCCAAGTACAGCAGCAGCACTCTGGACTCCAAGAAGAACAGCTTCGGCAGCAGCTACACGCCCAGCAAAAGCTCCAACGCCAGCAACAACGACGACTACAAGGTCATACGCAACAAGACGAGCGCCACATCGAGCTCCAGCTCGTCTCAGGCAACGGTGCTGAGTGCTGGCTCGACGGCCACGTCGGCGCCAACCACCTCCTCGGATGACTCCGACGACCTGGTCTCGTACAAATCGTCGGCCTCGACCAATGCGCTGCTGGCCCAGTCTCAGGCGATGACCACCAGTCAGCTGATGTCCAAGTACTTGAAGCGCGAACCGCGTGTCCAATTCACACCGATCAAGTCGCCGGACTCGCCTTCGCCGCCCGGCGGCGGGGACGGTCTGCCGAAGGGCACCTACCAGCTGGTCACGCCCAGCTCCAGCACCAGTTGCCTGGCGAAGCCTAGTGCCACCACTGGAGCGATTAGCAAGTACACGACATCAACATCGTCGCCCAGTGCAGCGGACACCACCACGAATCCAACGAGCAGCAGCAGCAAATTGTCGTCGCCGTCGCGGCTGGCCAAGGATGGCCGGTCGGGCGGCGCGGCGGTAAGTAGCTCCTCCTCTTCCCTGGTTTCGAGCGGCAGGCGGCTGTTTGACAGCCTCGCCTCGTCATCGTCCTCGGAAACGGAGACAAAGACTTACATTGGCGGCACCACAGTGGCCAGCGCAGTGAGCACCACCTCAACTTACACGAACGACTCCCGAAACGTAGCCACCAGCAATAGCAGTAAAACAGCCTCCGGCTCAGAGCACAGAAGTTTTGGTAGCGCATTATTCGGCAGTAGCGCCATAGGCAACGGCACCGGAAATGGCAATGGTCATGGTGTCCACTCTAGCAACAGCCCCTTCGCCAGCACCAATGGCAATGCCAACAGCAGCAGCAATCACAGTGCCATGAATCTCTATGGAACTCTGCCCAAGAATGGGGCTGCTAACGGCAGTAGCGCGGGCGCCACTCTCTTTGGCGCGAGCGCCAGTGCCAGCTCCTCGTATCACTCGGGCAGCGGCACAGCCAGCAGCAGTGGGGTCAGCTCCATGACTGGCTCCACCAATAGCTATGATTTCTACACGGGCGGCGGCTCAGCTGGCAGCAGCAGCAGCAGCACACGCCCCTTCGCCAATGGCGGCAACAACTATCATACGCTGGGCACTTACCGTGCCCAGTACGCGGCCACCAATCCCTTCCTCGACGCCTTCGACGAGAAGCCCAGCAGCAATGGGGCCAACAATGGCCATAGCAGCCACCACGTGGCCGACTCTAAGCTGGCAGCCAGCTCCGACAAGGGCCATCAGCGTGCCTCAATGGTGGCCGCCTTCCAGTCGTCGGGCGACTCGAAGAATGGCAGCGACGAGTACGATGATCTCAAGTGAGTGGCGCGTGCTGTGCGCTGGGCATTCGTGAGCGATGGCGGGGGCGGGAGCGGGGGCGGTAGCAGCTAGAGGGGAGTTGAAAGCGATTATGATATCAACGATGTCAAATGCTGAAATTGTTCTTTGGAGTATTTACAGTTTACAGTTTACAAATTTACAAACAAATACAAATTATGAGAAAATATGAATATATAAATCGATAAACAATAACTCAAAGCTATACTAAAAAAAATATATATAATAATAAAAAAAAAATTAATTAAATACAACAATTTAAAGAACAACTAAGGTTAAACGAATTTTTAAGATCACATCAATTTATATGGCAATCCACAAAGACAGAGAACTGGTTTAAATAATACACAAAACGGAAACAAAATGGCTGCCAAGCTTTAAGTGTTCGTCTGTGTGTGTGTTATATGTGTATATGCGTGTGTGTGTGTGTGTGTGTTTGCGTGTGCGTGTTGTATGTGTGCATCATGCCAAAAAAGCTTTGCCTTAGCAGCATTTATATACCCTTTGGCAGCCATTTTGAAATCGAGGGCAAGAAACCTTTACAAACAGTATTTGAGCAGAAACTAAATTCATTGAAGAATTGAAACGAAAGTATACATAATATATATGGTATTAAGAAATACGAAACCACAAATCTTAACAGCTAAACTACAGGTTGAGCGCGCATTTAATTATTTCCTCAGACATACATATATTGAAACATACCGATTTGCTGAAAACACATACATACAGATATGAAACACGTATTTTTGCAGTAAAGCCAAGCGAAAATACATGAAATATTCGAGTCATTCGAATAGCCGAATTTCTCCCAAAGTAACCTCCTTGCAACTTCTATGCAGACTTTAGCTTCTTTTAAGGTGACCAAATCTCTTAACTACTATTAAAAATGAGAATATTTCGTAAAAATATTGGATAACTTTTCGAGCAATATATTTGCCTAAGCCTCTTACACATACAGCTAAAACACGCATCTCTCTATCTATATATAATATATATATACCTATGAATAAGTGTATATACGGAATCTGTCAAGTAACAAGTTCACATACATGATTAAATGTACATCCGTGTACGACTAGATGGTATTCTAAACATAGATGCTTATAAGTCCATTTCAGTTCACTCACACAAATACTAACACACACATACATACACACACATGCCACATATACATGAATACATGAATTTATTGACAAATCGATGTGCTTAGTTTTTTGTATGAAACAAAGTCTGATATACACACTAATATACAAGAATACGGTATTAAATATTCTTAAACATTAATATACAAGCATATATATGTATATGCATATGCATATATATGTAGTAATATATACATACATATACAGTGACAAAACTAAAACACGCTTTGCGACTACGACGACAAGAGAAGGGTCTACAAATTTTACAGCCATTTTGTTTGAATACTTTAGTAAAAGCTTTTTATAAACAAATATATACATAAATATATACATATATATATACTTACATATAAGTATATGCATAACTAACTGGAAACTATAATAAACTAATTATACATATTATTAATGCCTATATATCTAATAACAATCTCCTATTAAACTGTAAATACCCACAATGTACTTTAAAACTTATGTGCTTTGGTGTCAGCCGATTGGCGGAGCGATCAGAATACTATACCGTTAGTCAGCTAGTCAGTGTTTGTCAGCGCTTGTCGTTAGTGTCTAGGACTAGGCTTAGTAGCGTACTTAAGTTAGGCTTTTGCTATCCACATGTAGAGTGCAACAAAGTGAAATATTTTTATTTGATTTCAGATAATATATATATATATATATACATATATGTATGTTAGAAAGCCAGGCAGCATCGAAAGCAATAAATATTTAACATATACCCACAAGTTGGACACACCGAATATAGAAAGAGAGGGAATGAAGGATAACACCAAAATAACAGGAGCATACCTAGAATCATAGTAAATGTGTGTTAGTTAGCATATATACAGATTATGTATGTATGTACCGGGTAGACAAACCTAAGTTTAGAGTTACCTAATGAAACACTAGCATAATCATTCGTCTTCATCAAAGTACAACTTTCTAGCAGCAACAACAACAACAACAACAACAAGAGCAAGCGTTACTTACTTATATATATAGCATATATATATATATAGACAATTCCAACTCAGATTTGAATTCGCATCAATAACCAAATCATTGAATTGAAATATTATTAACGCGTATAGCCAAAACAGTGCATTATTTGATATTAAACAAGTTTTTATGGATGGGACATGCATTCAGATTTTAAATAGCTAATTATTCGGTTAATTGTTGTCACATTTATTTTATACGAAGCTAGATGAATACAAAAAACAAAAACATTTTAAGTGTTATATACATAATAAAAATCTATCAAACCAAAGAGTTGAAAAGGACAAGAAAACAAACCTTAACCTAGTTGCTAGTTGCTAGATGCTATAATTAATTTTTTATATACGAGTATAGTAAATTGTTGGTTATTATACACATACATATATACACATATATATATAGAGCGTAGTGTTTTTAAAAAGGCAACAACTTAAGCTGATAACCATTTGTCAACATTTGCTAAATGTTCATTTGTTGGGGTCCAAAATAATCCATTTCTATTGGGGGTCTTGCATGCGATTTGTTTTCCGTTCTCTTCTGTCTTTTTCTCTGCTATTCATAAATTGTTAAACTTGAAGTTAATCATGCGTGAAATTCAATTAGTTTGAGCAAACTTTTATTCGAAGTTTAGGGATTCATAAAATCATAAAATTCAAAGGCAAATAGAGAAACATTTGAATTGATTTGCAAATTGTTATGGCTTCTTAGTTATAGCTGAGCTTTAGATAAGATACCGGGAGTTGCCAGAGGGCCTAGTTAGTGTTTAGCAAATTGTGGTCGTAGTGGTGGTGTTGGAGGTGGTGCAGGCGGTGCAGGTGACGGTGGTGGTGGTAGTGCTGGTGGTGGTGGTGGTGTTGGTGGTGTTGTTGAAATGTTGGCTGTTATGCGTGGACTTCAACTGCTTCTTGCGTGAGTGTTTAGTGTTTGGGATCTGGTCTGTGGCTTGAACTTGCTTGACAATTGAATATATGTACTTTTAAAAGAAAAATATGTTATGAAATATATCACTGTGTCATATCGTACATTTATACAGCAGTAAAGCGGCAAGTAACAAGCGATAAAATGTTAAAACCAAAATATTTAAATTAAGAAAAAACCCAAGAAATGAAAAAAAAGTAAAATAAAAATGAAATTTAATTATAACTAAATGAATAGCAGCAAAGCAGCAACTACATATAGTTAAATAAACTGAAATGATTGGCAAGCAACCACAAGAACAAATTGTATATGCATTTAATTTAGCCTAAACAATTAAAACAAACCACATATAAGTATATATATAATACTAACTATAATAATAACAATAACAATAAGCGTTAGCTGAATAAATACAAAGCAAATATGTTAAAGGCATTTAGTGAGCAAATATGAATTGATAAAAAAAAAAAAACTATTACACACAGACGCCACTTGAAATTATTGTTAGTTACAAAACAACAACAAGAACAGCAAAAAACGAACTAATTTATTGAAATGTATTGCACAATATTGTACACTTATAAATATTAGTAATGAAACAAAAAGGAAGTAACTAAAACTTAATAGAAACAAATAGGAAGGCAGCTGCGCTAGCGAAATATATATATGTATTGTAGTTAATATACACATATATATATATATAGTCATATCTATATATATTAGTTCCCAGCCATGTTTTTTATTGTATTCTAATATGTGCCCCACATTATTGTTTTGAAGGATCAGAAGTTTCACACTCACACAGCATAGCTCAGTTAAATTAGTTGAATAGTTGAAATAAACCTAAGTGAAAGATTTGTGTGAATTTATATGTAATTTGTATTGAATGTGTGCCTAACGCTATACATCTTCCCTCCTTCTCTATCTCTCTCCAATTTTTTTTGTTTTTGTGTTTTTTTTTTGGAAACACCAGGGCAAACTCTTCAAATAGTTGGGGATGAATTTTTAGCAATTCGCAGCACTTGCAATGTGCAGTCGATTTCTTTTGTCGAACTTAACAAGCAAATGGAGACCAAATGCTCAGGGCTTAGCGAGTTATATTAACGTAATATACAAAACCAAAAGAAACAAACAAACAAAAATAAAAAGGCAGAAACCGTATTTAAGAACTAATTGTATGTAACACATCATGAGCATGCTCCATTAAAATTTAACAAAATACAAAACTACAAATCATTTCAGTTGCAAATCTAATGCTAATGCGTCGACAAATACCCACAAGAAAAAAAAAAAAAAAAAGAAAATAAATAAATAAAATAAAACAACAAAAACGAAATGAACAAGAACAATCCAGCTAACAAATTTACAAATCCAAGCAATCAATTTTGTTACAAAGACTGAATGAGAAACCAACAACAACAAAGGCAACAAAAACAAAGGTTATGTTACCCACCCTCGAGGGGGGGACAACTTTCATATCAAATGGCAAACGTTTTTCAAAAAATCCCCAAATAAAAAGCTTTAAGTTTCAATCCTTAAAAATGTAAATTCTTATCCTACTTTTGAGTCCTTTACTAGCAAAAAAAAACAAGTCCATAATCCAAAAACAAAAATAATCCATTCAAAAGTCCCTTAACGAATAGTCAAATATAGCGAAATTAATTCAAATATTACCACCAGAATTTTTGCTACATAACGAACTAAATATATATATAACTAAAATGCAATAATAAGAACAAATAGTTTACAAAATATAGTTAAAAAGGAAGTCGTATGAAACCAGATGAGACATTGCGAACTTTAGCGGACACTTTTCAAGTAGAATTATACTAACAATATACAATGAATAACAAAATTAATTAAATGAAAAATGAATAACAAAATCTGTTTACTCTGAGGCATTGTATTTGGAAATGATTTTGAAACCCACCACAAGAAAGTGAAAACTGTAATACTAACGAGAAAGGCAAATTCAAAAAATTCAATTTTTCTCTCATTATTATGTTTATCTATGTCTACGTGTCATCTCAATTCCAAATTCAAATATTAATAAAACAAGAATCGAAAATCCAAATCTAATTCGCAACAGCAATATTTCAATAAAAAAATCAACATATATTTATAAATCAACATATGTATATACATACTAACACATATGTACATAAGCGCAGTCACAAAGCTTAACAACTATAATCCAAGTACGAATCCAAGCGAATCCAAGTCCAAGCGCCAAAATTATGGAAATTATCGCGCGAGACAGCTAAAGCAAGGAACAGATAATACTCTAATTTACCACTGCCACAAAGTTAAAGGAAAAACAAATGAATTATATATATAGATAAAGATAATGAAACATACATCATCTACAACATAGATATGATGAAGGGTAAATTCCTTACAATTACATACATACATTCATTCATTCATACATACACACATGATGATGATGATGTGCGCATTGAGCGCAGATGCATTCACAAAGGCAGCATGAATAATTATATGAATACAACATATAAATACATAAGTCAACTTAAACTTATTATTTATATCCAGAATAATAACAATGATAACAATAAAACTTATCTTATACAAGCATTAACTAAATCCAAAATAGTTCTTTGCGTGAGAATAAAGCGATGTTACATTATTTAATGAAAATATATACATATAAATAAAATATAAACAATTATATGTGTTTCTTATATCTGCTGAGATTTTATTAGCTATTTCAGCTGTAAAATAAGTTTAAATATATGCATATATACTTACGTTTTTAGTACATTTAATATACTAAAGCTTAAGAATAGTACTAAAAAGGTTGTAGGATTTGCTGGTTTTGTGCTTGAGAAAGCAGTTTACTGCTTATTACTAGTCTACTAAACACAGCTTGCATTGGTTGGTGTCTTTGCTAAGCGGGCAAAATAATTGCCTATTTTAGGTACAACATTTAGAACAAAAATCCTTACTAAACATGTCACAATTTTGTGAAATTAATTTAGCCACCAACCAAAAAACGCATTGGGACATTTAGCACAATTTTTTCAGCACATCTACATCACTGCGTTTCCAGCTCTCAACTGAGGTGGCTGCTTTCGTACGACGTCCGCTTATATACTATTTTCTTTCATTTCTCTCCCTCTCTTACACAGATCTCTCATAATTAGGATCTCAAATCAAATATATTTCTAGCGTTCAGCCAAAGTGGTTGATGTCAAACGAAGCTCAGCACTATCCTTTTTATTTTCCTACTTTCTCTCTCTCACCTCTCTATGAAATGCTGATCGTCAGTTGGTCCCATTTCTACGCATCTGAGAGAAGAGTACAAAAATAATGAAATCATTTAACATGCTCATGCAAAATTTTAAGATTTTATTATTTGTGGGAAGGCTTGGAATTTGTAAAATTTCAATCCCCTCACATTCTCTTGTGAAGAACCGATTGAGCATATTCATGTCCACACCCCCAAGGCTGAATAAATCAAATAAAATGCAGAAGTTATAGTTTTAAATGATTTAAATCATTTTTTTTTATTTTGTATTTATTTCTCAAATATTTTTAATAATAATTAATATTATAATAATTAATTAATGCTTGTAACATAACAAATATTCACTTATTTCATTGTTTTCTTCTGCGCACAATTCATTTCGACAGTTTTTCACATGCTCTACAGAATGTCTTCATTTTAGATTGTTTTTGTTTGGTTTTAATAATTTTTATTGAATTTCAAAGTTTTTCACGTCTTTTCGCACCTGTTTCAAGCACAATGTTCAACTTTGCTCGGCGCCCGCTAAAATACGTGAAAACACAAAAATGTATAATTTAGTTGATTTTACTTCATTTTTTAAATCTTTTTTTCAATTTTAATGTATAATTGGGGTCGCTTAGCTGCTGTTGGATTTATCTTCATTTTCTTTTTGCAACCACAATACATTTATATATATATATATAGATATACATATATGTATATATATATATCAATATACTTTCGTATTTCTTTTGTTATTTATATATATACAATACACATAATAGATTTATAGTAAAATTTGGTGAGGAAAATCTTGTTTTGTTTCGTTTACTTTCGTTTAGAGCGTAAAATGATTAAATTTCTTTTATTGATTTACCGTTATGAGTAAGTTGTACAATTAGAGAGCACAAATGTTAAAAAGTGTTTATCGTGGTGTAAATTTAAAAAACTTCCTTTAACAAATACCTTCAAGTTCGATTTTTGATTGTTTTGCGTGATTTGTTCTATCATTTCTTCTTCTTCTTGTGTTCTAAGTTTCGGTAAGTTAGGCAATATTTATTTTAGAGTCGAGGATATAGCTTTGAAGCTTCTTGGCAATATCTGTAAAAACTGTGATGTTTTCGTAAGTATAAGATCGAGTGACTGAGAAACAGACATTGAGAGAAAGAGAGAGAGAGAGAGTTAGAGAGAAATGGGGAGAGTGATAGAGTGCATGTATTTGTTGTTGTTTTCTTATTTTCACATTCAGTTTTTAATTTTGCTTTGTAACATTTCAATCTCGAATATTGGGTACCAATAAATTGCAACAAACTGCCGGACTATCCGGCCCAGTTCGTTGGAGTTGATTTAAATATGTAAGTTCTTTAAGATAATTGATTATATTTAAAAACTTGGACCCTAGTTGAATTTTGCCATAATTTTGTTTTCTTTTGACTAACGCGCACAAAGTTCAAAATAGAAATACCAAGGATAAGAAAAAGGCAAAGAAAAGCAAAAGAGCAAAGTAGATAAGGTAAAAGAATTTCTCAAATGGATCAACATTTATCATCTACACGGATGATCATATCATGTAAATGTATAATTAATTCACTGCTGCAAATTCTTCAGTTTAGTTTCGGTAACTATTTCTGTTTCGATTTCTGTTTTTAGCATGTATTTATCATTTCACTAAAAAGTAGGAACTTCTGTCTGTTTTTTTTTAATTTTAATTTCTTTGTAAACTGGTTTCTGAGTTTCCTCCATGTAGTTTTCATGTATCAATTTTTCAGTAACTGAACTCAAGTGTACAAGAAACGAGTCAATATTAATAAAGCATGTAAGCACAGATTTCGCTAGCTATAATAGGTATGTACGATTATATATGTATATATATACATACATACATACATATATATATATGTATATATTCTATATAAGTTTTATATATACGTTGCAAGCGCTTGTCCAACCGCCAAAGTAACCAAGAAAATTCTCTGAATACAGTACGAACGCAGCAACGCTTGCATTTCCACATGAATTCCTTGCACTTTCTGCTAAAACCACGCACACCAAATTCATTTGCTACTAAAAATACTAATGAGCACACAAATCTATAAAATCTATAAAATATTGTACCAAAAAACATTTGAAATAAACTCCTTAAAAAAGTATACTGTGTAACTATAATATATAAAATTAATAATTCAATATTTTCATTTCTGTCTTTCTTCGTTGGCAAAATATTTAACAAATTCTCTATGCTTTCATCTATTCATTGTCATTGTCTACGACCACAACGACGACGATACGCACTCGCTATCGGTCCGTAATCTTAAAATAATTTCGATATCTTAATCAATTTTTTCAATTTTCAATAACTTGCGCTTCCGATATAACTTAATTTCTAATGCTGTTGCTGTTTAAGTTGTTGTTGTTGTTGCTGTTGTTGCTCTAACCCAAACGCTTCAAACGCTTCAAATTCTTAACTCTCTTTGTCGGGTTGCTCTGGTAGAGGTGTATGAGTGCTCGCTCAGAGCGGAAATGAGGGCAGATCGAGAGAATATGGTGAATATATTTTATATGACAAATATGGTTGATATGTTTCTGTTGATGCATATGTATGTATATAAGTATGTATGTGTAGCACATGCTGTGAATCGATGAGAGTTGGTGCTAAGCAAAATGTTTTCCACCTTTAGTTCATACCGTTCTCCCGACACCGTCTCAATTCAAGGGCTTGCTTCTGCTTTCCATAAAATAATCCATAGATTATAACTACAATTACACATATAGAGTGTATGCAGCAACTAAATCTGATACACACATGCACACATATGCACGTTTCTATTTATGTATGTGTGCAATGCAATTCATATTTACTTAGTCTTGAATTTATTTAGATTCACAATATGCATTTCGGTAAAACGTCGTCACGTACAACTTATAACTGTTCGCTATGCTTGATTTAAACTTTACTTTAAATATATTTATTTACTTGTTTGTTTATTCCTTTTATCTTGTTTTCTTGGTTTCTTTTATATATATTTGCTTTATATCTTTGTGAATCCCCCTCAAGTCCCGCGTCTGAGTTGCGACTGTTACCTCGGGCAGGCTTCGTTCATTAAATGTAAATGTGTTAATCTGATAAATTTTTAATTATTAAATTCTTCAATGTACTTGTAAACTATGTATTCAGTTTGTTGCTTTTCTTATAGATTTTTCTCTTATTTTCTTTTTGTTTTTGTTTTTAATTTATATTGTTCTCTACATGTTAAAGTAATACTTTTTAGTGTTTCTCAAATAGCTGCATTGCGTATTTTGCACTCATTATGATGTATGTACTAAGTATGTATATATGTATATAGTTCTATTAATTCGCATGCTGCTTTTCTCGGTGTGTCCTTTTGTTCATTATCAACATCAACACGCTTAGGCGCGAATTGTATCCGTGTATCTGTATCTATCTGTATGTATATTATCGTTGGGCTAAATATTTGATTACGCTTTGAACGCTCCATACCAAAAAGCCGGCGCACTAACATCATTTCATAATGCATTTCGATTGAATTCGGTTGAGTAAGTGTGAATGTAAATATGTGACTGAGTGTGCGGTTGTGTGTGTGTGTGTGTGATGGTGTGTGTGTTTCAGTGGCTAAGTATCTTTAGTGTACGGCTTTAGATTGTTTTACACAAACACATAAATATTTAATGATTCAACTTTACACATATTTACTTTACTTTACGTGTTACTTTACTTTCTTAGTTTCTCATATTTTCAATTGTTTTGTTTGTTTTCTTAGGTTTCCTGTTGTTTTGCTTGTAAGTAATTATAGGTATTGAAATACTTGTATGAAATTTTTGATTTGTCAAGAGTTCTCATTTGAAATTCTAGCAGTCGTGGGTTTGATATATATATTAATATATATATAAATATGTATATATGTATATTAATAATTATCTCTTTTTACCTTGTATCGATGCGCTAACAGAACGTGTGTATGTATATATATATATATTTATATAATAGACATAGACATAGGCATAGACATAGAGCATATATGTATATGTATATATAAGTTAGTTTTTAGATTAGTTAAGATTAGGATAGAATGTATACATGAAACGCTAGAGTTTGTTTAAAAATGTACTTTAAGCATTAGAGTTACATGAGAAATATGTGGTGGTTCATGTGCATATGTGTGTGTGTGTGTATGTGTGTGTGTGTGTGTGTGTGTGTGTGTGCGTGTACTTAGTCTATGGCTAAAGTATGTTTCTATTCTCATTTTGTTTCTGTTGTTAGAGCTTCGAAGGAACTCAGACACACATGCAAATTTGTCCCTAGCTTAAACCGTACTCAACCATATATATGGAATATGTATGTAGGTTCTAATTCTCCATAGGTAATTAGCAGCTGCAGCTTGCGACTTTCTTGTGATAATTGTAAATACCGTATGCAATTTAAATTTTACATTTGACATTATTTTACTGTTGCTTTTCGTACACGTTTTATGCTTCAAATTTACCATTTCAGTTAATTGTTAATTTTAAATTACGATCACTGCTACTTATACTTATTAGCTAAATCCATATCATTCAGTTACAGTTACAATTAGTTTATTAATCAATATTCTTTTATTTTCTTTTCTTTTGTTTTGTGTTTTTTTGTTCTTTTGCGCCAACGTATAAATAATTTCACTTTCTAAATATATATAAACATTGATGTGTGTATAGTTAGTTGTGCCTGTCTGCTTGTGTGTGTGTGTGTTTTCTTTTTTTTTTTTAATTTTTTTTTTTCATTTTTCTTTGATGGTTGTGTTGGGGTTCTTTTTGTAAAATTATCAAAAAATCATTGAGTTTTTTCTTTCTTTTTCTTTTTTTTTTGTTTTGTTTGTATTTGCTTCGCTAAAAACACTTATATGTCTTTCATGTTGGTATGCTTAAGTCTAAATATAATTATGATTTTTTTGAGATTTTACTTTCATAGCTTAAAATTTGTTTTACTTCCTGTTTCATGTTTTTGTTTTAGTTCAACATATACCTATATATATGTATATCCACTATACAGTATATATATAATTCTTTTTTTCTTAACTTTTTTCTTTATGTTTACATACATATATTTTGATAATTTAACAACATTTACAAATACACACACACACAGAAGGTTTTACGTACGCATTTTACATTGTTTTTTTTTTTTTTTTTTGTTTAACTGTTTTTAAAAGTATTAACATTAATTTATGTTTTTCTCTCTTTTTTATGTTAATGCTAAACAAACGAACCGATCGACTCAATTTATATGCGGTAGATGCTCTTTATTCAATTAGAATTAAATACATTTCAATTACACTTAAAGACTGATGGGATATTGTTTGTTTCTCTTGCTCTATAATTAACATTTTACTTTATTCGATTCGTACCTACCGCTTACAAAATGATAATCGTCTAAAAACTGCTAAAATGCGCTCATGCAATTTCAGTGTAAAAAATCAGGGTTACCAGTTATCAATGAAAGTTTTTGCTTCACTTAAAATATAATAATAACAGTAAATACTCATACATAATAAAACAATGTTTGTTTTGTTTTCGCTTACTTCATTTTTTAACATAAATTTTGTTTTCTTGTTTTTCTTGATTTTTTTTTTTTTTTTAATTTTTTATTTTAGTTTCCCTTTGTTGGTTTGCATGATTTGACTCTCTGCCGTTACTTAAAACGAAAACACAGTACAGTGCAATTAAGTTAATTCTAAGTTCGCTTTGTTTCTCCTCCTCTTTCTATGCAATGCAACTTACTTATGGACTACAGTTAAGATTTAACTTTAAGCTTATGATTATACGACGTCGCTGATTGTTTAGTGGGCTCTTTTTGTTTTGTTTTTGTGTGTATTTCCCCATTCTCTGTTGTGGTATTTTGTTGAATGTTCTGATTCGTTTACGCGTGAATTTCGAAATTGTATTCATCATGATGCATATACAATATCTATATATATATATGTATATAGTACACGCATTCATTGTAAAGTTTTGTTTATTTAGTTTTTGAATTTCAGTAATTAGTGCTATGCATATTGTGTTTTTAGTTTTTAGTTGTTTGCTTTTTTTTTTATATAATGAGAACAGTATTTAGATATTAGATTTTGTTTGTATATAAGTAGCTATAGCTCTTTTGCATCGATTGTTGCTGCTGTGTTTGATGGGCTGGGTGGTTTGTATTGTGGATTGGTTGGGCTCGCTTCTCAGTTGAAGTGGCTGTGGTGGCGATTGCCTTGCATGCCGCTTGTACTACGAATAATAGATTGTATCTGTTGCTGCTGCCAATAGAACTGATGCCGTAGTGCAATGCTGCTGTTGGCACTTAGTCAAGTTCAGTGAACCTGACCGCGGGTCGGATTCTAGATGTTCGACTTGGAGAAGCTCACGCGCAAATGGTTCGACTCGGACAGCTGATGATTGTGCATTTTGATCAGCGCCAGGACGGCTTCCTCCACCGACGACAGTTGCAGCAGCGCCATTTTGCGGTCCTTGCTGTAAATGGATAGGCATCCAATTAGATACGAATTTTCGCAATTTTGAAAATCATTAATATTAACTTACGGGAAAAATTTGAATGCTTTAACTTCAAAATTGTTGGAGGTGAAGGCTTCTTTGATGTCATCCTCGGTGCAGGATGAGCTGTAATATGCAAGAGAAAGAACGTTCGTTCGCTAAATTAACACCTATCGATTTAAATTCTCATGCTGTGCGTCTATAGATATCGCATAAACACTCCTGCCACCCCACGCCCATCTGCCCAAACAGCGGGCATAAACACAACCCCAGCCAGAGGCAGAGGCAGCGGCAGAGGCAAAGCTACAGGCATGGCCATAAGCATATAAATTCAAACGGTAGTCGTCTCTCCGCCTCGTTTGCCCCCCTCTTGTGGAGCACACACAAAAACCTGGCGGGGCGCTTTGTCATATTTGGCAGACAAAGCGTCGCGGGGCGTTCGCCTCTCACAATGGCTGCGACTCTGAATGCGACTCTGGCAGTGGGGGGCTGGGGCTGTGAATGAGCGACGGGTTTGGGGGGCTTCGAGTTGGTTGGTGCTGCCGCTCATAGCGGTAATTGTAATTGCCCGCGTAGCGTGGCTGATGAAAAAACCAACTCCAGCTGTGCGTTGCGCTGCGCAGGACGCTGGATGGCTTCAGGCGTTAGTTGCGATGCTATACAAAGGATACTTACGGAATGTTACTTAAATGCAGTGTCGCCGATGGCGGGTAGATGTTCTGATAGTTCTTGCTGCCCGGCTTCTTGAAACGGTGCAATGGATTCTGTGAGTAGTCACGCGTGAGCCCCGCGTCCGGCTGTCCCTCCTTGGGCAGTTGCACGGCCTGATGTTTGCTGGCCATGACACGTATCGGCTTGCCCCATAAACGTAATTTATCAAGGTGAGACATGGCTGCAAAGCACAACAACAAAAACAACACATATGAAACACAATGTTAAAACGTTAAAACGAATGGCAATGCATGAATTTAGTGGCGAAAGTTGTGCCGAGGGAGCAGCAGCTCCGTTCAGCTTGTGTGGGGGATAGAGAATATTTGTTCACGTTCCTCCTGTACATACACAACATGTGTTGCCAAATGTGTACAGATGCAATTTATATATATGTATGTGTGTGTGTGTGTGTGTGTGTGCTCGACAAATACAGATATATAAATGCTGTTCTACAAGCTGTAAAAGTAAAGTTGGATTCCCCACTCCATATCCTAGCATTCCACCCACGCCTTTCGGGACTGAGACACAGCAATAAGTACTGGCAAATATTTACATACTAAAATGTAACTGCAACTTTATCAATGTCGTCTGCCTTTGGTGATTTACTAGCAAATGACTCGCCATAAAATGCATTGCCCACAAAAGTTTGCGCTTGTTTCGGTATCGTTTTTTATCTATTTTTTTTTTTTGTAGTTTATCTGTTGCCCTCGAACCTCGACCGGGAGCCGAAGTTTCCATCCATGTCATTTGTTTCCCATGGCCTCAATAGTCATAACACCTGCGGCTCACTTGCAAATAGACGACTGCAACAAAACACGCCGCCGGAACGGAGTAAACACATTTGCTTCCGGTTTCATATTCGTTTTCAATTGCGATTGCGATTGCGATTACGATTACGATTTCAATTTCGATTAGATTTTTATTCAATTTGCTGTCAAGTCATGCTGGGACCACTAGGACATGGCCAGCCCCAAGCAAGCACTGGTCCCTTTTTACATTATTTTAATAAATTATATAGAACATTTTATCATTTTGCGCAGTTGTGTCACGAGCCATGTGGGTGGGGAAAGGAGGGGGCGGGGTTGTGCTTTGGTTACATGGAAAGCGGATGACATCGCGCCGGGTTGCTTATGTTTGATTGTTAAATAATATGCTTACTCAGCCGTTTATTGTTTGCCTAATGGATTAAATGATTGTACAAAAAATAAGGCTTGAAAATATAATAAATTGTAAAATAAAAGGCTGCCTGCCAGGGGACAGCGAAATGACGACGAGCCAGAGCAGCGGCAGCAGTGACAAACGCTTCTTTCATTTTTCCACATGCGACTCTACTCTCTCTATATATAATAAATATATATTCATATTTATATATATGTATGTGTGACAAACACTTGTAATAAAGATTAATGTGGAGCCGACTCGAGAGAGGCAGAGGCAGATCCCAGCTCTGCTAGCCCAAAATGTTGGGACCAACTTTGCCTATCATCTCAGCGCCTTTGAAATGGGCTGCAGCTGCGCATGCTGAGGCAGTGGCTTTCGTGGCTTTGGGCCTGGGCCCCAACTCAAAAAGTATCTTAAAGTTTTAATTACCAGCCTGACCAGTGGCAGCAACACCAACAGTAATAGCAACAGCAGCAACAGCAGCAGCAGGAACAACAACAACAGCAGCGACAACAAATCATTATTAACTTGCTGGCCACAAAGAACAAAAAATTGTAACAAGTGCACGCACAGCTGAGCACCGTAGAAATACCACAGCATAAAAAAAAAAAAAAAAAAAAAGAAAGTCGAGTTAGTCAACTTTGCCCGAAAGCCCAAAAATGACTTGTAGAAGTGTCTGTCAGGATTTGTGAGTGTGTCAAAATGGGTTAAGTCACTTCGGCGAACAACAAATGGAGTATATAATGAATATAATATACCAAGATTATGTCCAGTTCAGCCTGAGACATGGACAGGCAACTGATGCGCTCTCGACTCTGGCTGCTCAGGTGATATTAATTGAGCTAAAAAAAGCAACTGTCGGCCTGCAAATATGTGACCACATTATATTGACAGCTGGTGCGCACTTCATCTCGAGTCAGTTCATCAACAGAAACTTTCTTGCATAATTAATTTGGCGCACCCTGGACACTGAATCACTTAACGCTAAACTTTGCCCACTGACACATGGCGTATACGCATTCCGGCAGAGGCACATGTGACTGCCTCTCTGTCTGTCGCTCTCTGTCTGCCTGTGCTGCTGAAATATTTGTTTGCATTTATCGTAAATACTTTTATGCGTATGCTGCTGCTGCTGCTGCTGGCGTTTGCTCATGCAAATTATTTTGTAGTAATTTGTATAGCAAAAATTTATTTACGCAAAATTCCCCAGATAACAGCAATAACAGCGAGAGCGGAGGCCAGACTGGGGAGCCATACTGCACTGAGCAGTGTGGAGCGGCAGCTGTGCGTGTGCCTATCAATTTATATGAGAGTTGTGTCTATAGTTTGTTATAAGTTGGGCACAAACTTAATCCCGGCACGGCAGCCAACAAATGGCGCGCGTCCGGCTGGCAGCCATTTGCACAATGTCGACAGCGTCGCCAGCGCCTGGCCGAAAGGGCCATTATAATACACACACACACAGATACAGTCACACCTTGGAGTGGACTACAGACTACAGTGCTTATTGTTTTTTCATTGTGTGTGTGTTTTGTGTTTTTGTCTATTTGTGCTTTGGCTTTGCCTCTTGATTGCTGTCGCACTTTGTTTGGTCCGAGTTAGGTCTCTCGGAATCGGACTCACACTTCTAGTTGGCCTTGGTCTGCTTCGGCATCTGTCCGATGTCTAGCTGTCTTGACTGGCTGGCTCGCAGTAGTCGCATCGTTCTCTTGACTTCATTTACACTAAAAAAAAGTGCTTTTTCGCTTTTACGCTGTAATTCGTATGCTGAGTGTGCAATTGTAGCCGTATTTTGTACACCGTACGGTCTTCCTTTAGCGAGACACTTTTATATGAATGGTGTGGGCAGGAGCAGGAGCAGGAGCAGGAGCTGGAGCAGGACATCTGCTACCTGGGCTGGCGCTGGCTGGCCCCTGAGTCGGTAATCGTCTTTGTTCTGCCAGAGTTGCGAGAGTTTTGGGCAAAGTAACGAATGAATTTGTTAATATTTTATGAGTGCATAAGTGCGCACTCACCGAGCGACCAACCAGGTCGGCAGGCACCCAAATAACCAACATACTTACGCGACTTCACCTGAACAAACGAACGAACGAACGAAGAGACGAACGGACAAACGGACAAACGGACGACAGAATGGACGGACGGAGGGACGGAGGGCAGCAGCAAGGCTGGTGGCAGCCGAACTCAGCCGGAAGTGTTTGCCATTTGGCAGCCCTCGCGGCACATTAGTAGTCTGTGTGTTGACGCAACGCCATTAATATTTCCACATGCCAGCAGCAAGGCTTTGTGTATGATTGTGCGTGTGTGCACGTCTGTATGTGTGTGTGTGTGTGCTTTAGCTGTACAATAATTTGCTTGTCGAATAGCATTGGTTTTGTTGCCACAAATAAGGCGAGGCATTTTGTTTGTATATCTACAATAGCTTCATCAACTGCACCGCATACTGCGGTCGACCTGTGTTGTCAACTCATTGACAAATACAATTAACAATACGCATACGACATGGTGGCTGGCCTTGCACTCGCAAAACTGCTCAAATTAAGTAGTCGATTGCATATGCCAAAGGTTTGCGTTCATTAATGACAAATACCAGATATTTAAATCGGAACTAAAAACACCCAGAAAAGGCAAAGACAAAGGCAAAGGCAATGCGCCAAGTTTCGCATTACTTAAGCTTTTAATCGCTCAACATTGGAATGCCTTTGAGCTGAAATATGCAGCAGCGAAATAAAAATAATAATAACTGATCAAATTAATTGCGTGCAGCACAAAGCATATTTTAACGGTGCATCAAAGCTAATGGCGAATGGTTGCTGTTGTTGTTGCTGGTTGACATTCTTTACAGTTGAATTTTGCAATATTTCAATAGAAATCAATGAAGGGAAGCAAAGTGTAAACGACTGCGTGATACTAATTCATGGTTAACAAAGGATAATTATGTAATTAAATAATTAAATGAAAAAAAAAAAAAAACACGAATAATCTATAAAAAAAATTCTATAATGCCTGTGAGCATAAAAGTCGCTGTTGGCACTAATTTTTTTCCAGTGTACATTCGCGAATGGGGCGAGCAGCTTTCGCTCGGGCAATTTGCTGACAATTTCCGCTGCAATGTTTAAGCGACTGCATTCATATTGCAAATTTAATTAATTTAAACTTAATCGATGGCAATGACTGCAGCTATGCAAATATATACATAAATATAGCATAAATATGTATGCAATATGTGACAAACATGTGTGGAATATTGTGGACAATTATTTGTTAAGCATTTAAGCGTCAGCAGCTTGTGTAATTATTGCATATTTATGTGCTGCATGTTGCATGCCTCGAAGCGGCTTAATGCGCTGCATACGCGATCGTCGGCTAATGAGCGCAGCCATAAGGAATACAGGTACAACGTCGCGTATGCGCAATGCTTGAAGGCCGCCGCTGCTGTTGGTCGCGTTTGGGTCATCTTCAATTTTCAATAAAGCGCCTAGCGGGGACAACAGAGCTTTGACTGCCTTTGAGTTGTTTGGCTGGAGCCGTGGCTTTCTGCCGTGCGGGGGCGGACGAGGGCCATTGCTTGTCGAAGTATTAAATGGAATGAAACCAAATTGAAATTGAAAAGGTGTCGCTGTCAGCGCGTTGCTTGTTTTTCCTGTTTCTTTTTTTGTCTTTTGTTTTTTGTGTTTGTGTTTTTTTTTTCGTAATAAAGTGGAATTTGGCACGTCGGTTGGGTGCTCTTAACGCCTCGCAATGCGCGGCGATTTTCATTTCGTTTAATGCGCACACAAACAGCCAAAGGGAAGGCAGCTGAGAGGGGGACTGCGGCGGCAGCCTGACAATGGCAAAGTGCACACAAATAAATGCAATAAAATGATTGGCATATCCCGCTGAGCAAGAGCTAAAAACGAGCAGCATGGGACAGTCCTTTGTTGGACGCTGCCATGGCCAGAGAGAGTGAGAGTGCGAGGGAGATATATAAATATATATAGACAGAGAAGGAGAGAGAGATAAAGTGAGAGAGCTGCGACAGCTTGGACTGCGAAGCAACAGGAAGGACCAGGTGTTGGACAGGCGCTGGTAATAAAGCGCTTATAAAATTTCATTTATGCGCACAGGCAGCAGCGAAACGAATCGCTCGGCCTGGCACGGCAAGGCTCGGCTCGGCTTTTCTCTGCCCTGCTCTGCTCTGCTCGCATTGCTCTTGTTTTACTCTACTCAACTGTGCATATCTGTACATTTTGCCCATCTCTTTCGCTTTAACAATTTTTATTATTAATACATTTTGTTTGCTGCAATTGCAGCTGCACAACAGCAGCAACAACATTGGCCAACAATGGCTGCCAAAGATATGCAATGTTTGGAATTTAATGTTGGAATTTTTCATTTTAAACAAGCTGCAAATTGCAGTTGCCGCTGCCGCTGCCGCTGCCTCTGCCGCTGCCTTTGCTCGCATTTCATTTATTTTTTGTTTGTATACCCTGTAACTGTGTGTCACATGACAAAAGCTATTTGTGGCTGCTCAAAGCGCATAATGTGTATATATTTTTTGATTACATATTTGTCTAACTTCCTATATATATAGCAACCCGATATATTCTCTTTTTATTTGCGATTCTACATTACAGGGCATACTCCCGCCAGGCACTCCCAGTTATGGCAAGCTGTCATGGTTTTATTCTTCCCTTTGGCAGCTGATGCACCTTTCACCGCCGAAAAGGAGCGCAGATTTTTCATTACTTTTGGGGCGGATCGTAGGGCGTGTGGGGCGTGTGGGGCGTGTGAGGGCGTGTCTGTTCCGGAATGTTTGACTTACCCAAATAAGCTTGCTGCGGCTCTGCCATTTGTATGAGTGCCGAGTCCTTTTTGTTGTACAATATCTTTACACGTTGCACATCGCCGTATACACCTGTGAATTGCGAAATGGTTGGCATTATTAATATGGTTTTCAGTTTATTGCAATGGCGTTAAGAGTACGTGGCAAAGAGCGTTAACACTAATACAAAAATCCACTATTTACTGTCCTAGGAACACACATTGTAGCTGCCACAGCTGCCACAGTTTCTGCTGCTGTTGCTGCTGCTGCTGCTCTGGGTCTAATGAATATATCCAAAAATTTTGAGTCTCTGTGCTTTAGGCACTAATAAATACTGGAGCCAGCTCCTACGATGCAATCTACAAAGTAGAGCGCGGCCATAAGAGACGACTTAAGCGCCGCTCAATGCGAATGGCGGGCCAGGAAAATTCGGACAGCCAAGAAAGAGCGGAGCGTTTTATGCAACGCGCAAATGTTGCTGCCTCCCGTCAAAGAACGAAAGTTTTATACACCACCAAAAAGCCATAACGTGCACCAAGATGGTTTTCTCAGCTGCTCCCCGCCACCCCTAGCTGTCGTCTAGCAGGTGCCGCTTGATGCTGTGCCAGAGCCAGAGGCTGCTTCGTATTATTGCCGGAACGAAGCCGTTAGTATCATGTACGAAACTCATAACTAGCTCAATAAGTTTTCTCAGCTATTTTTTACGAGCGACTCCAGGCAATGGCTTCGCCCAGACCAGCCTTCAGGCTGCAGCTCCACACTCAGCCTCAGCCTCAGCCTCAGCCCCAGCCTCAGCTCGGGCTACAAGCTGGCTCCACAGAGCTCGACTCCGCATACATTTTAAGGCTGCGACACGCGGCTGATTTTACAGCTGTCAGACAAGGTGTAAGTGTGACGCTGGGGAGCTGGGGACCTGGCCGCGTTATTGAATTGAATTTTATGGCTTTACTTACGCGGCAAGGCAAGACTCCGCCAAATATGCAATATGCATTCGCTTCGGCAGCATCTTGAGCCAGTGAAACTTTAAGGTGCTTTAAGTGCTGAACAAAAGTATTTGCCAGCGATTTGCTTCCAGTCCGGCAGTCCAGCCGTTGGACTCTGCTTTGACAGCTGTCAGGGGCGGAGGTGAGCACACACACACACACACACACAATTACCCTATGCAACTCTCTTGACCAGCAGTCCGTGTGTAGCCAATCAGCGGCAAATTTGCAGCAGGGCGCAAATTGCCATCAAGCATAAAAAATAGTTGTTGCTGGATCGCAGCTCGTAGCTAAAAGGTCGCAGCACCGTACTGCCTCTCCCCCTGCCCTCTCCCCCCGTACGGATGCTGCCAGCCACACCCAATGCAAACAATGTAAAGTGCAGGCGCCCTCGGTTGCCCAAGACAACAAATCGAATAATGCGAAAAGTAAATTTTCAACTAACTCCACACCCCCGCACTCCCCCCGAAAACGTCACTCGCCTAGAACAGAGTGAAGGAAAAAACACATTCGAAGACCAGTGGCAGTAAAACCGGGCACTGCGAGGCAGGGAGGGAGGAGCCCTAACAAGTTACAAAAGTAGCAATAGAAATGCAGGTAGTAAATAGTGCGGGAACATAGTTCAACAGTTGGCAGTAAATCCATTTTATACAGTCGACTGGCTGCTCGACTGGCTGGCTGCACAGACTGCACAGAGCGCAAGCTAACCAGAAAGAACTGTGAACTCAAACTTGACTTATGCCAAACACCGAAAAATTTCGTTTGCTTCAAATTGGCTTGGCGTAGCAACAATTGCAGCAATAAACCAAGCCAAGCGAGCCAACTTACTCGGACGTATATCTGCGCTGCCAGGCATCGGCTATGGAGCATATTGAACGCCAGTCTCTGGCTCTGGCCGCCAGCCAGGCAGTCAGCCAGCCAGTCAGCCAGCCAGCCAGCCAGTCAGCCAGCAGGAGCATCCAGCAGCAGTCTGATTCCGACGGGGCGTGTGAGCCACTGCGGCTCTGTCAGCCGGTTGCCATGCAAAGTGGCTGAGGGCAGACCGCCTCCGGCTAGTCAGCCAGCTCGCCAGTCAGACTTTATAATAATTTATTATCGCAAAAAGATTTAGCTATATTTGTACAGCCATGCGGCTAACTTTGAATATGTTTGCATACTTTCTCCGGCGCTCCGGCGGATTCCCCGGCGGCCCATTAGTCGTACGCTTCAGCGTATATTTTTGATGAAAAAATATAGCAGTTGTCCGTCGTTTAATGCAAATTTTTACTTGCCTGCTGAAAACTTCAGTGATCAGGCTAAGTGAAATTCAACTGGAGTTTTCATAAACTCCCGCTTTTCGACCGCAATTCGCCAATGAAATTTGTGCAATAATCGAACATTAGTGGCGCACAGTTTTGAAGCCATTGTAGTTTTAGTACTTCGAATGCTCTCTGTTGAGCTGTTGTTCAACATTTTGGTAAAACGAAACTGTTAAATTATGAAAAACTTTTCATTGAAATGATTTGCACATGATTTGGCCCTTTTTCCGGTCACGGCACCCCCCCCCCACACACACACACACACACACACCTGCGGGTCTGACTGCTCTGCTAAGTGTGGCACATAAAATTTTATGAAATTATTTGTGCGCCCAACAAAAATCACGCACACGGTTCGCAGCGAGCTCATAAAAATTCAATTAAACACGTTTCAACAATATTTTCGGCAGTGATATAAATTTTTAGCACGCCATTGCAATTACATAAGCCGATTATCAATACATATACATGCACACACACATTCGCAACTCAATCTGTTATGCTAAACGATTTGCAGACTGATTAAGTTTTTATTGTGTGTATGCAAAATGAGGGTCAAAAGCTGTAAATGGCCCAAAAAATAGGCAACAGTTTCACTGCCCGAAATGGGCTTCGATTAGAAATGTCTGACAGCCCAACTGGCATGCGGCATGCGGCATGCGGCATGTGGCATGTGGCATGTGGCATGTGGCATATGGAAAGCAGCATGTGTCAAGTGTCTAAGGAGCGTGTCATAGACATCGTAACATTGAGCAGGGCAACAGCCGGTTGCTGCCGGGTCGCCCCGGCTCAATTGACTCTGTTGGGGCTGGACAAACACAACAAAGCGCTGTCAAAACTAATAAAATGTCTGCATTCGAAAGGGTTGAGCTGTTAAAAATGGGCCTTCCTCTTCTTTGGCCCGCTTCCCGATTGACTTGGATCAATCTACACACACGTAAACGTAAGCGTTTGAAGTGCGCTATTTGCGTGGGGCGTTGCAAGCCTTGCGTATGCCACTTTTATTATTTGATATGCAAACAGCTTAGCAGAGAAAAGGAGCAGCAGGAGCAGCAGGAGCAGTGGCAGCGAAAATAACAGCAACGCCTGTGACATACTACACGGGACCCACGATTGAATTGCAAAAATTGCTACCTTAGCCTGGCCGTCAGACTTCGGTGTTCGCGTCATGTGTGAAAATTGTGGCTTAGCAGCTGGCACACCTGGCTGCCATTAACATAACAAATGGCGCGCGCTCTACACACATTCACGTGTGTGCAAGTGTGTGTGTGTGTGTGTGAGGGGCCAATCGCCTGTTTGTTTGCCGTATAATTTGCTTCGAGTGTCACTCCTGGCCAGCGAAGCTTCGTGTGCCACGCTTTCCACGCTCAAGCTACTTGGAAATTCAAAAGTTATTACATAAAATTTTAGCGCTGCCATTTAGTTGATTGGCCGCTTAGACTGCCTGACCGCACAGCCGTCATGTCGCTTGCTGAGTTTATCTAAATCTATTGGCACGCCATTTCCAGCTCATCCCCCCCTCCAGCAGGTGGGTCGGCAAGGGACTAAGACGCTTCAGAGCGTTCGTTCAGCTTATCGACATTTCTCGCTTCTGCTGTGTGCAACGGGGCGTATGATACTCGTACATCTAACAATTTTCTACTACGGCTCCTACGTTTCACTCTGCTCGACTTTGTTCGCTGCCTGGCCATCGTCGTCCGGCTGGCGTTAAATCAGCAATCGAAGCTTTATTAGCACACTGCAGTCAGCTGCCAACTGCCAACTGCCAACTGGCAAGTGGCAGGAGAAAGCCAACTGCTGGCAGTTGCTGGTTGCAGTTAGTCTTAACTGTGGCTAACGAGCTGCTGATAGGATTTAGTGTGGCTCAGTGGCTTTAAGCTGCCCTTAGTTGTACGCTCCGTGCGGTTATGCGGCCGTACTGCATTACTCTGGCTCTAACAATAACGGCCAGGCAACAGCCAACGAACGACACACAACAAAAGCAATAATCATTTTTAAGCAATTAATTCGTTTGGCAAATTTTTGTTTACTTTATCAGCGATAAGTCCGAATCGCTGACAGAGTGAATACAATGCAATTTGTACATAAATACCACACAAATCCCTCCGACTGTGTGTGTGTGTGTGTGAGTATTTGAAGACAATCAGTTTAAGCCGCATTCAGACAGTTGGCTCCGCCCCACGCTGTCTGTGGCCCTTTTGCACTGTGGTTGCGTGTGTTTGTCAAAAGTTTATATTTGGGTATTTAAACTCAAATTAAATGCATTTGCATGCAAACAAAGGACACAGACTCAACACAGAGTGGGAGAGAGAGAGAGAGAAAGAGATAGAGAGACAGCACACATGTCTCTGTGGGTAAACAAGCCGCAAAAACAAACCGTTTTGTGACACCAGAGACAAAGGCGACAACAGACTTAACATTGTTCTGCATATATCTGTGCATGTATGCAAGTGTATGAGTGTGTGTGTGTGTGTGTTTATTGTGGTTGCCAAGTTTTGTGCGTTTTATGCTGTTGCAGCACAAAAATGCGATACAGCCTGGCAGAGGGCAGCCTGGCAGAGGACATCCTGGCAGAGGGCAGCAGCGCCATTTTGTGTTGTGTGGCAACAAATCCATTATGCTGCAATTATGCGCCACACTTGGCAACAACAACACTGTGGCCAACAACACTGCGCTGCAGGCTGTGGCAACAATCGAAGTATTTTGGTAATTAAATAAAGCAAACAGATAAAAGGACACACGAGTCGAGGTCTGTTGTCTTCGGGCATGTTAGATGCAGCGCATGTGAAAAGTCAAAACTAAATGCTATAAAATAGTTAAGCAACGCACACACACACACAAACACACACATATGGGTAGAAAAACAAAAAGGTTTCTGGCTAGGGGAAGTTGAAGCTGCAATTCAAACAGCAAACCCCATTAACTTTACAAAGTTAGTTAAATTCATTTAGCAAACAGACATGCCGCATACGCCAGACGACAAAAAGGCAGTAAGAAGACAATAACGTAGCTAAAAAGCCACCACAGCGTCCCTCGCCCCGCCACCCAACCACCAAACCACTCAACTATCCAAAACAACGAACTACGAAAAGTCACAAGTAAATTTTATTTCAATTGTAAAGCCAGCAAAAAGCTGAGCATGTGTGTGTGTGTGCGAGTATAAAATGCACACACATATGCATATAGTATGACAGGGCGAGCGAGTGAGCAAGACAGCACACACACGCACACAATGGCAGCAACAACAACAACAACAACAACAACAGGCGCAATGATAACTAAATAAATGGACATTTTTATAGCTATGCACTTCCGCACTCAATCTTTTGTTGTGCGGACCCGTATGTGTGTGAGAGTGTATGTGTGTGTGTGCTGCAGGATGAGCGCAAAGTTAAATCATGTGTCCTCTATATACACACATACATACATACATATACATATATATCTGTATATCTGTAGAGCTGAGAGCGAGCCGCTTACTTGTATAACAATGGGCAACTGTTGCCGTGGCTCGGGTGGATCGGGTGGGTTGGCGGACGGTCGGGCGGGTGGTCACGCGACATGGGTACAGCAGGCGTTGGCTGGTGATGCACGGAGCGGAGCGCACTTAATTCATGTAATTTTACATGCACACGAGCATGTCGCAGACAACGACAACGACAGCCAAGGAGCAACAGGATGCTGTTCAAGTGTGTGCCTGAGTGCGGTTTCACTTGTTGCCCGTTTGCCACTGAATGTGTGTGTGTGTATGTGTGTGTGGTTTTTTTATGCTCTCGTCTGTGTGCGTGTGCGTGTGTGGGTGTGTGTATGGTTAGTGTAGATTTATGCAAGTGCATATATTTTCATTTTCATTGTTTTACAATTTGTAAGCACAACTTATGACAGGATAACTGCCAGCAGGCAGCCTCTGCATATGCAACTGTTGCTGTCTTTCCTTCTCCACCTGCCCCACCTGTCTCTCTCTCTCTCTTCCATCTCTAGATAGTTATTGTTGCTGTTGTACAGTCGTCCACCATCTACAGATAACGATTTAGACTATTTCAATTTCAAGCTGATGGATTTGCTGCATGCTCGAGGCAAAAAGCTATTAGAAAGCCATTTGAAGTGTGCTTGCAATACGATAAATATATATATTATATATATATATATATGGAAAGGAATTGCAGCAACAGCATTTGTGAGTTGTTATTTAGTGCGCTTTTCCGCTGCTGCTATTGCAAGTGCTTGCAGCTCTGGTTATGGTTTTTATGCACACTTGGGTCTTTATTTTGCTAACAGCTTGTATTGTAATAAAATACAAAGCCATTTCTATATGATCTGACTGTGACTGATCTCCTCAGGATTATAGATGCAATGCGATTCTTAAATGGAATCAGCTTGATATTCAAGCTTGCTTCACTGACAACTTAACTTAGTTTGCTCTTAGCTAGTTTAGTAGTGTTTCATTTAATATTGAAAGCAATTGTTTTTAATATTGTCGGCATTGTTTTGCCATTTTAGTTGTTGTTCACCCACGCAATTCTGTGACTTTTCACTGTGTGTGCATAAATAATTCATAGCACTTTTCCTGATTGCACGTAGATGGCGTGAATTTAAAACGGAAGTACGCCAGCGATTCACGCCCAGGGATAGCAGTTAGGGCCCGGAACAGCTGCAGCAGCTATTACAATGTGTGTCTAGCTGTCAGCTATTTTCAACTTTCCTACGGGGTCTAAATTCAATGAATAAACAATTGTGTTCTACTAATAAAGTGGTCAAGAATTACATTTGTGGCTAAGAAGAAGTTGGCAGTGGCACAGCCAGGCAGCTAGGGGGCAAGGCAGGAGATGAAGGGGTCAGAGTGTGAGTGTAGAGTAGAGCAGAGAGAAGCTGAACGAAAGATTGGATGCATTTGTAGAATTTGCCTTGCACTTTGCCTAGCTGAGCCACATACATATACATATACTGATTACTTAATAATATATTGTATAATATATAGCTAAAGTATATCTAAAATTTATATAAATAATGTATACTGTAATTGATTTTTGTTTTAGTTTTGTGCAGACGTACCAAAGAGGGTAAATAGAGCATCAGGCGTGACCATCTACAGAGAAAAAGAGAAAATAGAAGTTTGTTGTCAGTTAGCGAAAGTTTTGGTTGTAGAGATGTTTTACAAATTATATAAATCATAATTAATAAATATTGGGAAAACTAATAGCAATAATGTGTAAGAGTTACAGAATCAATTTGCATTCAATTTTGTATTTCACTTTTAGTCAATTAATTATGAAATTAATTATGCGAAGGTATTCGCGAAATAAAACTCAAATAACTGTGTGTGAAACCAAAAATAAATAAAAATATTTCAATATAAATAGTATGCGGATTTTGTGAAAATATTTGTAGACGAAATGCAAACTAATTACAGGCTATGTACGATAACTATTGCATTAAATATATTATTCGTGAGCAAATAGAAAGTATGAGAAGCGTACATAGGCATGTATATATATATTTTAAATTTATATACAATTTTATTTATTTTTTTAAATCAATAATTGACAGATATTTTATAGGTATATATTGGTTATATTCAATTTGGTTTCACTTACCTCTTCATTTAAATTCGATACGAGCAGCACATTCGAGTAGCCGCGCATAGCTGGAGCGGCGGTCTGTAGGGCGCCGCTGTTGGCCAGCGAGAAGGCCGCCAGGTTGGGCAGGGCGTTGCTGTAGCCGCCGCTGAGTGGAGTGCCCAGGCCCAAGGCGAAAGGCGGCAGCACGCCGGGTGCGCCCAGGCCGTTGACTAGAGAAGCCAGGAGGGAAGCGTGACACAGAGCGAGAGCGACAGCGACAGCGACAGCGACAGCGAGAGAGAGAGGTGGAGAGCGAGCGAGAAGAGAGAAAGAGATACATATATATAGTATTTTAGGTTTTTGAACGTGTTGCGCTGTTGCATGCTACTTAATACTAGACGAATCGATAGCGAGTGTCAAAGGCAAAAAGTCGAAAATCAAAGCATTTGCTATATGTGTGAGTGTGTGTGTGTGTGTGTGTGTGTGTGTGTGTATCTGTGTGTGTGTTTGTATGTGTGTGTAATTATGTAAGCAGGCGTTACGGACACGAAAAATAAAACAATAATAGAAGGAAATTGTTCTGTTTGTGTTACCTATTTTATCACCTGTTAATGAGGGCCGCTGACGGGCGGCAATCAATAGCAGATCATTGGTATTCATTAAGCCGCCGGCTGTGGGCATGAGATCGACACCCGGCTCGCCCGGTGGCAGCGCCGGATTCGTAAAGTCGCGTGACTTGTCATTGTTGTACTTGACATTCAAGGCGGTCAATTTGCTGTTGTCAATGCGCAAGGTGCAGCAGCCGTTGTAGATGTTCTGGCCATCCAATATTGACTTGGCCTGCTGTGCAGAGTGGGCATCCGGATACTGGATGAGAGCCTGAAGGATAAATAAATTTGATTAAACATATTCTCATTTTTCGAATTCACCAATTGCTTGGAAACTCCACTCACCTGGAATGAATTGTTCTTGGTGAAGGTGACGATCTTCAGGACCTTGCCAAAGCGCTGGAATATCTGATGCAATATGTCCAACGAAACGGGGTACATCAGAGTTTCGACAATGACGCGCAGCACCGTATTGGGTCCGCCGGCAGCATTGGTATTGTTGCTGCCCGCCGAGGCATTCACAGCGCTCGTGTTGTTCTGCAAGATGGCCACAGTGCTGCAGTTGTTCTCGGCCGAGTTGTTGGCATTGTTGCTGGTCGCATTGGCAGCGGCGCACAGCGGCAACGGCGAGCCACCGGCGGGCGATTGAATGCGATAGTCACTCTGCACCGCCGACGAGTTCTGCTGCAAAGAGTGAAAGCAACCGAAAGGAGAGGATAAGAATTGTTAAGTCAATTGACGGCAAAAATCGTGTCTGCCAAACTTTTTATTGGTTAAACGATGCACATGGCAAAACTTTGTGCATTAATCAAAAAACTTGCCACCCAACCCAACAACAACAATTTTTGCATATCTTTCAGGCAACTAGACGAAAATATGCTAAATATTTATAGCAGCAGAAGCAGCAGAAGCAGCAGCAACAGAGGCAACAACAACAACAACCACAGGTTGTATAGTATATGTAATGGAAACAGGAAGAAGCAGCCCGGCCCAGCAACATAAATCTCAATCAAAATCAATAATATCAAGTACCGTAATAATAAAAGGAAATCAGAGTGCACAAAGAGAGAGAGAGAGAGGGAGAGAGAATGATAGAGCTCGGTAGGATGCTGAGGACGTCAAGACTTAAGGAGGATGCCAGGCCGTTAGAGCGCTGTCAGTCCCATGCTGCGCGGCAAAAGTTCTTGCGTGAAATATACACGTTCTATCGGAAAACAATTTAATGACATTCGGAAGTATATTTATTCGTATTCGTGCTGAATTTTGATTTCGAAAATCATAACGTAAACACATTCGACCGTCCTTAGCAGCCAGCCACATCGCAGCCAGCACCCAGCACCCTGCCCACTGACCCCCTCCCCCCCTCTATATCTCACTCTCCCTCTCCCTCAGCGAGTCCTAACGCGTTTTTTGTGTTTGTCAGCAACAGCATCAAAGTTCTAGACACACGTGAAGCAACAATTTCCCCCCAGGCGAGCCATTTGTTTTTGCTACCTCTTGCTAGATAAATTCTCGTAGACGAAACAAAGCCAACGGCAGGGAGCTCAACCAGAGAGAGAGAGAAAGGGAGGGACTCAGAGCCTTGGGCGCTGACTTCTGCCTAGGTTTATAAAAATAATAAAAATTGATTAGAATTGAGCTGTGTGAGGTCTCTGCCACAGTCAGACAAGGCAAGGCAGGCAGCCTATACACGCGGCGTATGTGTAACGGAATGTGCGTGAAGTGGAGTGGAGTGGAGTGGCGGAAGGAAAAGTGGATGATGCTGCGGCCGTTACAATTGCCATTCAGTTCGGCTCGTAGTCTATGACTGTAATTTGATACTTCACTTTGGCTGATTATTATTACGATGAGACGATGACGATGACGTTGATTGTGTAAAAATTGTAATGTAATTGTAGAGCAAACATTGCTTGTCTCACTCTCTCTAGCCTCCTCCCTCCCTCTCTCTCTCTCAGTCTCTATTGTGCGAGTGTGCTTGTGTGGGGATGTACTTAAACTTTGCACATGTTAACTGAATGTCAAGTGGGCAATTGCAAATTGACTGCACTGATAATTGCGTCCAAACATTCTACTACAATTATGGCCACCTAATAACAGGCCAAGTCACTTGACACATGCCTCTACTGCTCTAGTATTCTGGCCACAAAGGCAGCCAACTGGCCAACATCATTAAACATTTTGTCTGTGCGTACACATATGTGCATGTGTGTGGGCGTGTGTCTGTGTGGGTGTATGTGTATGCGTGCGCGATTGTTGGCTTTCCCTTGTCGCGGTTTAGTCGCTTAATGAGTCAATTGTGCATTGTCCATTATTTCAGTTCTGTTCATTCACGTTGTTGTTTGGTCTGTGGGCGGCTTGCGGCATTGATTAGTTGCCGTATACGGTATAGTAGCACTCACACGCTCACGGCGAGTGGGCCTACTCAGCACATTGTAATAATTTAATATGATAAGTCAGATAAACTAAACTGCTTTGATAAGCAAAAATATCAAATCTGCTGATAAGCTCAATTATCGATCCATTGTCTATGAAAATACAACTCTCTCTCTCTCTCTCTCTCTCTCTCTTTGTTTCACTCTGTGTGTGTGCCGCATATGAAATGTTAAAATTTGACAGTTCCCGCTGGACCTGTGCTATCTTAAATATTAGACAGACAAAATATGTAATGCAAAGTCGAAGCGATTGTCAATTCTCCAGAGAATCGACGCGAAAACTTTGCCAAAAATAAAATAAAAATAAAAATGAAACGAGAGACACTGGCAGAAAAGAAGGCTGCTAAAAGCTTTTAAGCAAACTTTTGCAATATTAAGTAAAAAATAAATAAAATAAAATAAAATAAAGCGACACAGTATAAACGCGCTGTCTGCCAGTTGTGGCCCCCGCTGGACGGGCCACCTGTGACAGCTGTCGGCTTCTGGTCTTTGCATAAGAAATAAGTCGATGGCAAACAATAAACTCTGGCAAAGAACTGCTAAAATAAAAAAATTGAATGTCTCTATATTTTATTCGCACTTTCGCTTGAAGCTCTGCATAAATATTATTGTTTAATAGATGCGTGCAATGCAAACCTGCAGCAACTCTGCTGCACTGTGTCACCAATGTTTTTCCCCACTTTTTTCCACCTTTTTCTCTTCTCTTTTTGGGGCACACTTGAGGTGTGCGGGGCTCGGGCAACATGCACTCCAGAAACTGGTCACGCCGTGGCAGAGTGGCTCAGACCTAAGCAAGTTGCTGGCTGCCTAAGTGGCCCCAGCCAAGTGAGTGAGACTGCCAGTTGCAGCTACTCATTCTGCGCCCGCATGCATGCAGCAATGAGCGGCGGTGGGCAGCCACTTTGGGCGGCTGCCAAATAGCTGCTTACACTTTTTGGGCAAGGCCGAGGGGAGGGCGGGCGAGCACTAGCCCAGCACAAGTTATGAACTTGTACAGTCAAGTTTTAAAGCTAAGCTGCGGATTATGTATCCCTACATACTTTGGTGAACTTCTTGCCAGTCCCGCTTCTTGAGCAGCTCGCATACTTTTTGTGGCCACTGGCCTCACAGAGCTGAGCTCTGTCAGAGTCTTCACTTAACCACAGCACAAAAAAACAAAAAACAAACAAACACAAAAAAGAAGCAGCAAAAATAAAACTCGTGGTTAGTTGAGTGCTGCTAAAGTCGTAACCACAGCAAACTCTGTGTACGTCTTATTTATGGCCAGCACAAATATGGTCTACGGCCGAAAAACAAAAAACTTGGCATACAAAAATATGCTAAGATGAGCAGCCGAGTAAATCCCACGTTATCCCTAGCCTAAAACTAAGCAAACACAAATACGCAAACCGAAAAGGGAAACATCGTGCAGACGAATGTAAACAAACCGTTGCATACTTTCAGGCAATAGCAGCAGGGGAGAACTAATCAATAAAATGATAATATTGTTGCCGAAAAGTCAGTGCAAACAAGACACATGTAAAGTACGTTGTCAGTTGTTATTGTTGATTTTGATATTTCTGTGCGGCTCTGGTGCTGTTGCTCCTTTTATCCTTGATGCTCGCAAATTTGCTCACGTACTCCAGCTGACGAGTGTGTGAAACAATGTAATTTAAATCCATTTTCAGCACGCCAGAGCGTCACCAATCAAATTGGTAAACGACTGGAGTGTAAGCAAACACTGTAACAGAATAACAGAGCACTGCCGCTGCCGCTGCCACTGCCGCTGCCACACTGCCACTGCCACTGCCGCATAACTCACAAAGGATCAACAAGCTATTGTAGAAGCGGTGCGTTCGCGGCGCTCTTGTGAAAACAATAAGATTAGCTCACTTTTGCTTTCGACAGACGATGCTAGCTAGCTAAAGTAAATGTGGAATAAAATGAGAAAACGACAGCGGCACGGCACAACACGGGCAGAGGCAGTGGCAAAGAAAAACAAAAGCAACTCATAGAAAAATAAACAACGTGCCAGTAGAGCCGCTTACTTACACATACACACACACACACACAGAGAGAGATACACAAATATACGCGTGAAGTTATTTGCGGCAGCGAAATCCTTTAACTGCACACGCCTCAGCATTGAGAGTTGAACAAATAGCCTGCCATGGTAAAATGCCTTATATGAATCCCAGAAAACAAGCCCCCACCCATACGCCTATGGCTCACTCCATAGGCAGGATTCGGCAAATAGAAAGCCTCTAGCTGTCGTCAAGCATGAAACGGCGGCTGTCAGGAGGCAGCAACAAATTAAATAAACAGTGAGCCATCCGAGCACGGCTCATATTATTAACGACAAATCGAATGAGTAGACGCTGTAGCCTAATATTCCTAGTTTTCCAGAGAGAGAGAAAGAGAGAGAGAGAGAGAGAGGGGCGCTGCAACATGTTTAAGCTTTTGTTAATCAGCCTGATCCTTTTGTGGCTTAATCGCCTGACATTTGTATTAGTTGCTGTCGCCTTAACACCCAAACTGCGTCAACTACGCCACACGCTCTTCTTAGCCCACAGCACATAGAAACAAGACGTCAACTGTTGTCCACATTAATCTCATTATGTGTTTGGTACTAATGCTGACGTGATTTTTCCACCTGATACTTATTCTATTAATTGACAGTCTGTGCACTTTATTGGCAAAAAGTTTGCACCAGCATTAAGAACTTATCTTTATTGGCAAAAAGTTTGCACCAGCATTAAGAACTTATCTTTAACAAAATCTTTGTCGAAATGCTCCTCAGCTAAGTAAATTACAAACTGTGTTGCCAACAATTACAAAAACCAATATTATTATTATTTTAGTGACTTATGAGTTCAGTGGAAATCACATTGAATTGTGGTGAAATATTTGCTATAGCCTAGGGTATTTATTTAAAAAGCTTTTAGGATGTGTGTACTTTTATTAAGCTTTAAACATACTTTAAAATAACATTTTTATTGCTTAAAGCTTTAAAAGTGTAAAAAAATCATTTCCTGGGAATATTTGTTCGTCCATGGAAGTTTTCAAAAATATTATAAATATCTCTCAAATATACATATTTGTTTTGCTTTAATATTTAAATGTGCGTGTTTTTTAAATTCTATTTTATTATTAATTTTTTTTTTTTTAATTTTATTAAATATTGTTCAGAAATAATTTTTGTGCTTTTATATTAAAATTTTCGCAACTCAGATTTAAATATCTTTTCAGAAATATCTTTTAACATTTTATATTATAATTTTTGCGTATGTTTAACCTCGAATATTTTTTTTATTTTTTTTTTCCTAATTATTATTATTATTATTTATATATCTTTCTTAGAACTTTTTCTGTTATAGTATTTTTTTCCAATTACATTTTTATTTATTTTTTAGAATATACTTGGAATTTATCAATTTCGTTATTTCGCCCATTGCAGGCATTTTTACATACATATAACAGAGTTTTGCTGTGGACGGCAATTTAATTTAATCACAAGGTAACCTTATCACAGTGGAAACTCAACACCTGCTGCAACAACGGCCAGCCCCGACTGACGTCCAACCGCACGCACACATGCAAGCAAACCAGCACACACACACACACACGTTCAGATAGTCATACATATTTGCAGCTTTATCTCATAGGCGTCACAGCCTGTAATCGGTGCGTTGGAAATCGCGAGCGACGCACTGCAAGCGACGACAGGTGTAATGCAAACGCTTCGATTGAACTGTAACTGTTGCGTATGCGTGCATGTGTATGTGTGATGTGTTCTCTCTGCTGTGATTGCAGTTTGCCGTTTGCTTGAGCTGTTGTTGTTTTCTGTCGCCCAATTATATAGATTCCTGAAATTATAGGCAACCTTTCGGCGTACCTTGTGCGGATGGCCCAAAGGCACTGTTGCCCCTTTCTCTATGTGTGTGTATGTGTGTGTGTGGGTGCGATTGCGCTTTCATTTGTTTGCATTTTGCTGACTTTTGGGCGCGATTGCAAATGTTACACTGGAGACGGAAGAGTCGCATCGTTGGGCTGTATTCGTGGGATTTTACTTTTGTTTTGAAATTAAATTTCAATCAATTTCGCTTTGTTTGAAATTTAGTCTCACACCCGCAGCCTGGTCCCAAGTGGATGGCAACCCTTTTCCGCTTGTTGGGGGATCGGCTAAAAAAATAATTTATCAAAATTACAAACATTCACACACGCACACAAACACAGACACACACACACATACACTGATAGAGCCAGCATCGGCAGATGCGCAGCCACAGACAGAGACAAAACAATCACATGTCAAATTTGCGCCGAACCACTAAGCAATATAAGAGGCTGAGCTGGGGGGCGTGGCAAGGGACCGCTTGGGGACCCTGGAGTTCTGTGGATTTGCGGCCAGCTCGTGTTCTGGCTGTAGCCGCGTGAACTTCCAGTGCATTTATCTTCATTTCCAAGCAGCAGCCGCAAAATCAGCATTCTAGCTAAGGTTTTCCTGACCCACACCGAGTGCCTGGTCCCAGTCCCAAGCTCCGTGCTCTGGTCGCTGAAGCGAGTGACGTGCGTAGCATGTGGCGAAGGCGGAGCGGGAGTGGGAGTGGGAGTGAGAGATGGAGGAGCAGCCGCCTCTAAGATGCTCAAGCATAAGAAGACATCAACGTAAATAGCAACGAAAATAGTCACAACAACTGTTGCCTGAAGTGCCTCCGCCTGGCTGGCTGGCTGCCTGACTGGCTGCCTGGCTGGAGGTGGAAATAGTAGCAGTTGCTGAGCACTGGGGAGCTAAGCGGCATAGGTGAAAGGACGTCCCAACCGACATGACATATTAGAATCCTGTTACACATCTCGGCGATGCGAGCACAACTCCTCGACACAGCACAACAGAGCAGAGCAGAGCCGAGCCACGCCGCCTGACTGCCAACTGCCAAATTGCCAACATAAATGTCAGTGGAGCGCCGGGCCGGGGGCTAGAGGCTAGAGGGTTTTTCATTTCTGATGCTGCCATCTCGGTTTTCGTACGCTCATTCTCCTTACTTTTGTTTTATTTCTATTCCCTTTTTTTTTCTTCTCCCTTTCTCTCAGTTTTTGTTCTGCTTCTCTATACGACGCAATCACTCAGGCGTTGAAATCTGTACGTGTGTTGTGTGTGTGTGAGCACAGATGATTTGAAAATCCTGTATTGCTGATTTGCTACTTCTGCTGCTGCTGCTGCTGTTGCTGCTTATGTTGCTGTTGTCGTCGCAGCTTTGCTTTCAGGTGCGTGCAGGGTTAAATCCCTTAAGGTATGCAATGGATTTCAGTCTGCCTCTGGCCTTTCGCCCGCCTAGCCGAAAACTCTTAAAGGAACTTTTTAAAGCACACTTATTTGACGATTCATATGGCCAATTGGTCTGGCAAAAAACTCTTTCCCATGCTGCGCAGGGCATTCACGTTCACTTCAAACGTAACTCAATACGACTGCATATGCACACATTAGGATCAATTGGAAACTTTTGGGGTCGCACAGAGCTTGCCAATATGAGAGGCTTTAAATAAACACATACTATTTGGCTTAAATGAATCTCTTGACTAATATTCATATTCAGCTCTGCGAGCAGCTGTTGCAACTGTTGCGACGCATCTTATCTGCAGCTTTGCACGTTGCAGCGGCGCATCAGAAAGATGAGAGATGAAAGCAATACTCAGGACTGTCAGCGAGGATGCTGAAGAGCTTTAGCATTGCTAAGACCAAGCAGGAGACGCACACAATTCCATACAAAGGCCAATGAAGACACTTGTTAAAATGTGAGGCCAAACAGCAGTTGCACAACTAGACAAAACAAGACAACACACGCACACACACAAACACAAACATACACAACATTACATGTTGACAATGGGCAGAAGGGCACAGAAAAAACATACAACAAAATAATAATACTAATAAAGGAAAGAAAAGCAAGTAAGAAAAATCTAATGGGCAGTTCTCGAATAGAAAATGCACTTTCGATCCTTAAAAGAGAGTAATATGGTTTACATATACATATCTAGATCAAGAGAAGAGCCTTTATCTCATCTGGTAAACCTAGTAGACAGATCTCGAAGAGAGAGAGCAGGAAGAGATGCTATATTTCATCTGGTAAATTGGAGAAATTTCAAATATGAACAGAATGATTAATTTTAGGTAGATGGTGAGGACAAATATTAATTGATATATAATGGGAAAATATATTGATTTTAAAATTAATTTGAATTAATAATTAATTTGAAAATAATTAAAAAATGAATTTGTATAATTGTTTTAGCCGCGATGGCTAACATCAAATTTATCTATTGCATTTGCATTATTTACATAGTCTAGCACGAACCCAATATGCCCTAAAATGCCATTTTCAAGGAATTCAAGGTATAAAAAGAAAGTGAATGAAATGAGAAATTGTATAAATATGTTGGGCAGGCGACAGTGGCAGCAACAACAAGAACAGCAGCAGCAACAATGTCAGCCAAACACAGCGCTATACACAATATTAAGCTCATACACAGACACACACACACACACACGCATACACATATATACAACACACACTCGTACGTTTTAAGAGATTTTCCACTAGACCAAAAGCAATGACAGCGGCGTTGACTTTTCCACTCGTCTGCGTTGTCATTGGGGTGGGGCGAAAGAGTAGCAGCAGAAGCAGCAGCAGCAGCAGGAGGAGCAGCAGCAGCCACAGCCACAGCAAAAGTAGAAGCAGCAGCAACAAGGCCTTTTACCAGGATTAGTAGTTAACAAGAGAAATCTGGCCACACCCACGCACAAACACACAAACAAACATACACACACACACACACATACACTGCCGCACAGCCAAAAGGTAATCAGTGAAATGTAACTGTATTGTTTGGTCTGACGTTATTTCTGTGTTTGCTGTTGTTGCTGTTGTTGTTGCCGTTGATGTCACCTTATTCATAGGCACGCCTTCTCGCATTGTTGTTGCTGCTCAGTTGCTGCAGCCTCTTAACCTTTTTTGTTATTGTTGCCGTTGTTGCCGTTGTCGTTGTTGTCGTTGTTGCAGCACATGACTGACGATCTCTTTTTAAGTAGTTTTGCTTGGGGTCATTTTGGGTTACAAGGCTAGCACGGTAAACCAGAGCTGAGAGGCAGGTGCTGCCCACACACACACACACACACGCACACACAAGGTGACAATGTCGTTTTGGGTTTTCAGCTGGCAGAAACAACAACAGCAACAACCATATTGCGCACTTTGTTGCTGCTGTTGTTGTTGTTGTTGCTGCTGTTGCTGCTTTCATTTAAGTAATCAAAATATGCTTTTGACTTTGTGCTAAGCAGCTGTCGTTCGTTTGTATGCGTAGGTATTTATGTGGCTAGAACCTTGTGGTTTTCATTTGTGTATAGTCGGTTTGTCTATGTATGCGCTCGTCTACGTGTGTGTGTGTGTATGTGTGTGCGATTTGGCCACAAAATCCCAAAAACTATGTATTTCTCTGCGTTTGTCAAGCATGTGTCTAAGGCAAAGATATGCATAAATATATATACAAATATATATATATATATGCATAGATATATAGTGAATGTCTATCTGTATTTGCAACTGTATTTATAGTTGGTTTCGGTATTTGTGTGCGCGTTTGTGTATTTATTTGAAAGCTTTTTAAACTTTGCCACTGACTTTGTGGCTTACGAAATTAAAATTAGAAATTGGTTTGGACCATCACTGAGAAATATCCCTTAGCATTTATGAATGGCCAACGCATGTGCGTGTATGTGTGTGTGTGGAATTAAGTTGCCTTAGAGATTGTAATTAATCAGAGGAGCGACCCACATAATAACGAGACAGCAACATTTGCATATAAATCGTTGTTTGCGTCTGACCCAAACTTAATTGCCACATTAATAACACTTAAGGCCCACAGCTTTAGCTGCTTATAGGTTCTACTGGCTTAAATAGTTTCGTATCAATTATATACAAAGGCTATATATGTATGTTTAGTGTAAGACTTACATTGTGACTCTGGTCCGTCTTGAGCTCGCGATGATTGGAGAACTGCACGTAGACCATGCGCCCACGCATCTGGGGCGGATTCACTGTATAACAGGAGACCATCGATGTGGCGGATATTTCGTCGGCCATTTCAATAAATGCTTGATTCTTGCCCTTTAGCACCAGGACATTTGTCACACGCCCAAATGGTATGCCCAATGCAACTACGTCCGATTCACCAGATTCGTTTGGAATGTTGCGCAAATGAATGACCTTTGAGGCTTTGGCTGCAAGCAGAGAAAGGTAAAAATAAATAGTTAGTGACTTGCTTGCAAAATAGATGAGGGGCGGTGGGCATGTGGTCGGGGGAGTGGGCGGGTCAACTAATTAATAAGCCGCTTAAAATATTAACAGCTGCCATACCGAATGGCATCCTTTGCTGTCTGCACTTCCGCTTCCGTAAGTCGCTTAATTTGCACATTCCTATTGTTGTTTTTTCATGCGTTTTGTTTGCTTTTCTCTCTCCATCTCTCCCTCTCTCTTTCGCTCTTTCTGTCTCTTTTGCATTTCAAGCCCTGTGAAATAAGGCCCCGATAACATGGCAAACGTTGCGGCATTTGTATACATTTTGCACAGTTAAGCGCCACTGCATGAGCACTAAATGGGCATGGTCCTGCCAGGTGCAAGTGGGACAGAGATGGGGCGAAAGGAGAGGGGGACGCGGCAAGAACCTAGCACATAAATTCATTCATTGCACTCTCTTTTGGTACGACTGTGAATAATCCACACAGCGACAATGTCCGGTCTGGTCCAGTCAGATTCAAGCCATGCACACGGAGTGAAAGAGAGAGAGAGAGAGAGAGAGAGAGGGATAGAGTGCAATTGTCTTTGTTGTTGTTGCTCGTTTGGCAGCTCGGTGTTTCGTTTGTTATTTTTGCATAAATAAAGTGGGCGCCGCACACCAAATGGGATTTTAGGCTGTTGCTTGTTGTTGCTGTTTTTCGGTTTGGTGTGGCAGAGAGCATTTTAGGGATTTCGCAGCGACCCCGTTGCACATCTGTCCAAAGTGCCTTAAATTTTTATAAACAAAAGCAAACAAATTTTCTGGCATGCCACATGCTTTATAACAACAACAACAACAACAATAACAATATTGTGGTTGTTGCTGCTGCTGCAACAACTGACACCGCGCGGCACCGAGGCAGAGGCTCTTTGGCTGCAGCCAGTCTACCTGGTGCTTAGTCCACACTTGTTAATGTGCCGCTTTTATTTTTTCATGACTGTCTGCCTGGGTGTGCATGAGTGTGTGTGTGCCCCCTTATATGCAAATGAAATGTTGCTAGATTTTTTTTTTGTGCTGTCTGTCCTTTAGCTGGCTTGCATGTGTGTGTGTGTGTTTGCAGTATTTACCGCAGCTACTAAGCAAACAAACAGAATATGGCAAGAGATAGCCCACGACAATGCCAATGGCAATTACCACAAAAAATTTGCACTTTTAGCAAAGCAGCAGCACTCAGAATTCAGCTCATTTTTAAAGAGTGAACTCATATACACAATTCTGTTTTAAGACTGAAAGGGGATTAACAGAGAGAGAAAGTGAGAGAGAAAAGAGAGAGAGAGAGAGAGAGAGAGAGAGAGAGAGAGAGCAACAGATATACATATCATCAATAGAGAGAGAAGTGATGAGGCAACTGCATATCTCAGACGTATATTAAAACTCATTCCCTTTATTTATGGCTATTTGCACTCTAATTACAACTGCTCAACATTTATTTACTCTTCTCAAATCCATTAAACACATCCACATGCCATTACTGAGGAGCTGCCTTAGCTAGATTTGTGACTGGGTTTCCGGCAGAGCCAGCAACGTGACCCAAATGATATGGCTTAACTACATTTATCAGCAGCAGTCTTTGCCACATAGTTGTTAACCGCTTTCACTAGGCCCTTGACTAATAACTTACAGCATAAAAGGGTCATTAGCCGACCCAGTGCTGATATGCACACTGACCCTTTTCAGTTGTCCACAGTCCGCAGCCTGCATGGGTCAATGTGCCAATTTATAACAATGCGCAAAAATGGAAAGAAAAAAAAATAAGAGTAGAAATAAATGAAAAATAGGCGCAAAGCCCCCCACTCATCAAGGCGGGCAGGCAGGTCGTCCAGGCCCGGGCCGGTCAGGCCATTCAAGCCAACTTGAGGCAAAAGTCATGCCAACTATGAGAGGGCTCTCGGCTGGGCAGGACCTCTCGACTGCAGTTTGGTCAAAGTGGCACAGCACTCGACGCTGAATACAACTAATCGGAAATTACACTTTTTGATTAGTTCGGTACGGAAATGAAGTTGAAACGAAATTATGCAAGCCACCGGCTGGGCTGGCTGGCTAGGCAAAGTGCACGGCATTTTTTTTTATTATTATTTTTTTTTTTTTTTTTTTGCCATACCCCACCTTTTGGCAGCTCGCAAATTTATTAAAAATCGATGGCCATGTGCCGGTCCGCTGCTGCTGCCCATAAATAACATAATCAGAAATATCTTGCTTTCAATTATGCGACTCAGATATACCATGAAAAGGGATTGCATATATATCGAAACGAATCTATTTGATGTATTAGAGCAGCTGCAATCACTGCTTGAGCCATACACCAGCCCCGACCCGTCTCAGTTGAGTTAGGGTATAAGAGCGAAACTAAAAAAAAGTTCACAGAATGCCGGAAACGTGCTGCAAAAGACAAACAACAAATCAAGTGCCGCTGGGCAGTTGCCGGAAAAAACGACAGCACTGAAAATATGTAAAACTATCTATCATGCATGATGACGTTGTCAACGAGCAGCGAAAAAAATAAAATAAAACAACAACAGCAACAAAATATTGAAAAAAAAGAGGGCGAAACTGAAAATATGAAATCTACTGAAAGCGCGCAAAACGAAAATTTGTGGATTTTTTGACGTTCTCCATCAACAACTCAATTTGGGTTTGTTTTCCACTGGCAGTTGCAACTGCGACGTTGTTGCCGAGCTGTGCTGCTGTTGCTGCTGCTCGTGTTGTTGTTTTTGTTATAGCTGGTGCCGCATTGCTCGGCAACAAGAGGAGAACTTGTAACAAATCGCAACAAACGCTGCTTGATGGTGTGAAAACGAGAAACTACAGCAGCGCGATGAGTAAATCGACAACCATCGACATTCACTCAACGGCGAGTGTAGCCATCGGGCTATCCCCCCCCCGCTCCACTCGACGCCCCTTCTCTAGCCAAGCACCTGACCTGCAAATACCAACGGTTGAGGGGAGGGGTGGGGGCATAATTGAAAAGGAAGATGGCGACGAGTCGAGGACGGCCGGAAACACAGCCAACAAGGCCCTGAGGCAGTCAGTTGCAACCGAAAACGAGCAACTGAACTGAAATACAAAAATTTTCGCTTCGATGTGACTGACTGTTGCCTCATGTCCTGAGGCTAATTTTTTTGTATTTTTTGTATTTTTATTCTTATATTTTTTCGGTTAAAGTGAAGAGGATTTACGGAATTTTCGAAGTATATTACAGAGTTATCCGCTGCAGATTTTCACATATATATTTCGCACAGTATATAAAACTGAAAATTTCTTGAACAAAAATGTTCCGCCCGTGTGAGTTGCCGGAATAAATTGCTCAGCTGCAAGCTGAAGGAAACCTTTTAATGTGAGGAGCAAAATAATCATACGGCCACTGCGAAAAGGCAAAAGGTGGGCGTGCAATAAAATTTGCATTCAATAATGACGCTTGCTCCGCGATGGCGTATTGATATATAAATAACAATCATACGCACCGTTGCACCCCATTTAAAATGCGCTGCAATGGAAGGCGCGGCTAAAGCTCAACCGTATTAATGACACGCACTATATTCAGGATGAGCCGGCACAGGCAGTGGCAGTGGCAGTGGCAGCAACGCCTCCTCCGCCACCCCCTTTCAATTAAGTCCATACACATATGCCGCGTCATGCCGGGCCACGAACCGGCCATCGATGAATTGCACGAAAAATATGCATATAAACTATTTATGGCTAATTGAAAAGTTTACAAACTGTAATTGAGTTGGCTCCGGTGTGGGCATGAAAATAATGGATGGTCAGCTGTAATGTGTTCCATATGCACAAATGTTATACAGTAGCTGTTGTTTTTGTTGCTGCTCTTGCACAATGCGGCGTATGTGTAATAATTTGAGAGCCATGTATGCATATCTTTTTTCTTTTTTTTTTTTTTCTTTGCCTGCACGGACGGCAACATGGACAAAGTTAATTAATGACTATTTAAATTCATAAAGCAAACAAAAACTCCCAAACGAATAAATTGAAATGAATGGAAAAGTGCGTCGAGCATCGACAGCTGAAACAAAGCCACGCAAAGTAACCGATAAATGGTCAACGCCCCAAAAACACCCCGGCCACACCCCTATTCATTACAGCTGTACACAAATGGGCGAAAGGACTGCTGATTGTTAATAACAATTAAATTTGTGCTTACGTGGCGGCATTTAATCATTTAATATACGCCTGACGCCAATGTTTGTGTGTGTGTGTGTGTGTGTGTGTGTGTGGGTGTGATTATTCCCAATATTTGAATATTCACACACGCGCACACGCTTTACATTTAATTATGCTACAGCAAATTAGGTTTTTACAGCCTCACACATCATAAATTTTAAATTGTTGGCCAGCAACTTGCCCTTGTCTGTCTGTGTGCGTGCCTGTGTGTGTTTGTGTGTGTCTGTGTGTGAACTGTGCGTGCATGCGTAATGACTTAATGATATTTACTTTTCCAGCGCGCCTTGTCTTTAATTTAAACATCTCTTTTTTCTGTATAATCAATCATAGCACACAAGTTTTTACATCAACTGAAACTCAACGCCAGCAGCGATGCTCGAGAGCGCAGCCTCGCCCCTCTTATTTTCCACCATCGGCTTCTTCTACATAATTTTTTGTTGGCCCAGTATATGTCTGTTTTCAGGCCAGCCATAATTGAAAATAACGATTTTTTTTCTCTGGCTGGCGCTGCTGCTGCTGCTGCTGCTGATACGAGCAAGACACGAGCCTAACACCCGCAAGTAATGTAATTCATTAAAAATTTGTTAGCACAGACAGAAGCAGAGAACTAAACAGGGAACTGAGAGAGAGAGAGAGAGAAAGAGAGGGAGGGAGAGAGTCTGCACAAGCGAGAAGTCAACGCACGCCAAGTCTGACGACGTTTACAAATTTTAATTGCATTTCAATTACGGGAATAGTTTCCATATTTTTCTTCTTCTTCTTTTTTACCTAATGCTGACAGTTTGAGTAGCAGAAGGTGCAGGCAGTCTGCACTGTCCTGTGTGCAGTCAAGCGACGACAACTCCAACAACATGAGTTGAAGTTCTGTAAAGTATATCAATTGCATAAATTAGAAGTGCGCCGAGTGGGAGTCGAGGCGGGGCAGCGACAAGCGCGTTTTCCACTTCATTTGCGCTCTATAATTATGTCCAACTGTTCAAAGATGCCATTGCAAAGTATGCTATGAGCTGCCAACGAGTCGTATGCTTAATGAAGTAACCCATGTGTACATACACAAATATGAGTGTGGCATATGGCATATGGCATGCGGCATGTGGCAGCCGTAAGTCAAAAGTGAAATCGTATAAAAAATGACAATAAATGCACGTTCAACTAGCCGACACGCACAGCCTCTCTCATAAATGATCACAGCGAACCACCGCACATTCAATTGACATCAACTGTCAGTGTATGTGTGTGTTGTTGTTGTTGTTGCCGCTGACCAAGTGCAAATTCTGATTTTTATTCTGGTTTGCAGTGCTCGCTCAATATTTACACAGACGTTGACGGCGCCGCGCACAAATAAATATGACAATATTATTTTATTGACTGTGAAAATATTTACACGCAACAGACGTGCCAGTGCGCTGCGGTATCACAGACATCAAGGCGGCACGCGCGCCGCCTGAAACAGAGCCACAGAGACACACACGCACACAGGGCACAGGAACAATGAGTCGTAGTCGCAGGACTCTTCTGCTGCTGCTGCTGCTGCTGTTGCTGCATGCGCTATGGCTATAAAAACGCTCAAGTACTTCACTTGGCTTTGATCTATGTGCTTGACTGGCTGATTGAATTGGGTTTATGAAATGATGCTGAACTTTACCTGATCAATTACTCAGCTCGGAGGTAGTGAATATATAAATCAACATTACTATTATTTTATTTAAATTTATTTATTTTATGTTATATTTTTATATATTTATTTAGTATAAATATATATATAAATATTGATTTTTACATATTGTTTTAATTGTTTATTTTTTTTTATATTTATTATATTCATTTAATTCAACTATTTATTTAATTATATTTATTTTGTACATTTAAAAAAAAATTATTTTTTTATATGTATATATTTTTTCTTATTTATGTATTTGTTTTATATATGCATTTTATTTATTTATATTATAAATTTACGGCTCTTGGTAGCAACCCTTTTTTCTTAAATTGAATCTATATTATTTATATCAGTATTAAATTATTCAAATATATTTACATATATTTTTTTAATTAAAATTTCTTTGATTAAATTTTCTTTTTAATTTTAATATTTATACTATTCCTTATTTATTTATATTATTTATTTATTTATTTATAGTTTAATTATTAATGAATATTATATTTAATATACCACCCATAGTAGTAAACCAATTTCAACTTAAATCTGTAGCTTGGCTCAGCCTAATTAATGATAAGCTTATCTGCGGCTTTCTTCCACTAAGTCTACTTTAAAGTATTACTCCATTGTTGCTTGTATTGCATGTCTATGGGTGATTGCCTTTTTTCTTTCCGTCTACTTGTTTTTTATTATTCAATGCTACGTTTTAACACCTAGAACCATGCTGCTTGTTAGCCAATGGTCACCCTCAAATCGGTCAATAAACAAACAAATATTGGCGGGGCTAGACAAACATAGCTTGTTTGTATGTGTCACTGTGTGTGTGAGTATGTGTCAGTGTGTATGTGCGCACTGGCTGTAACAATAAACAACGAACACGCAGCAACAATAACAGCAACAACAACAACAGCAAGAGCTACACATGCTGCTGTCCCAGACCAAACACGCGACATTGGCTCGGCTTAACTCGACGATGCGACGCAACACGACTCGAATCGACTCCACTCGACTCGACTGAGCTCAGTTCGGTTTGTTTTGGGTTTTGTTGCGTTTTTGGCGTGGCTCGAATTAGCCGGCACAGGGTCTCAAACTTGAATCCCCGGGGTCTAATTTGGCTTGCATAAAATATGCATAATAATCAAAATAAAATAAATCAAACGGCGCTAAGCAAATGCGAGTATTTATTACAGCAGCAAACGAAAGTTGGGACACTGGGAGAAAGGAATTATATATAACATATACACATATATATATATATGTTATATAGTACAGTATATATGGAGTATATATATAATAATCAAATAAGCACTGTGCGCTTTGCATTGTAAGATGAGCTGAACGAAGCGTGGCCACTTACTCCAAGTGTGCTTCACACACAAGCACACAAACACACAGACACGCACACACACCACTCTACTTGAAGTGGTTGGGCGTGGCGTTGTGGTAGCATGAGAGCAAAAGTGTTTTTATTACATTTACGTGCAAAAATTTGTTGCATGTTCGATGGCTAAGCTCGTGTAACGGAAACGTTGCTCTGTGTATTGGTTTAGCATGGCATACAAATACAATTGACAACGGCCAACGGGCAGCAGGCAGCAGGCAGTGGGCAGCGGATGGCGCTGGGGCGTGCCAAACCACCAAAAAGGAAAAGTGAAGAGAGGAAAAAGAAAACAATTTTTGGCAGTGGCTCACTGTGCGCATAGGTATGTGTGTATGTGTGTGCGTGAGTTTATCTAAGGCTGGCCACACAATGCTTTTTGTTGCTTTTGTTGGATGCTGCCTATTTACTTGTCTGGCAATCGTTGTTGTTGTTGCTGCTGTTGTTGTTTGCTCAGTGCTTCAATGCAATAAAAGTGTCCTTACACATTTATTTAGCAATTTCTTTTGTTATTATTTTTGGCATCAGCAGCGTATTTTTGCTTTTGTGCGTCAGCTTTAAGTGGTTGCCATGTAAGCGACACACACACACACACACAGGCGCACAGCCACACACAACAAACACAAATGAATTCATTGGATTTCCAGTGGCACCTCCGCGCCCCTGTTCTCCCCCCTCGTCTCTTTGTCTTTTCAACTTTAAGCTGCTCATGACTTTAAAAATTTTGGGCTGCTTTTGTGTTTGCGAATGAACTTTGCGTGGCAAATTAAAAAGGCCGCAGGTGGCATGTGGCATGCGGCGTGCAGTGTTTGCCAGCTGAAAGGCGGCAGGTGTCAAGGGGGCGGTCGATTCACAAGCAGTCGAATAACGTCCACGATGTCTGCCAGCCACGCACTCCACACCTCGCACTCCTCCGCACTCCCCACTCCCCACTCCAGCGTGATCCACCTGCTTTACTCTTGCGTTTGTATGCATGAGTTGGCACTCAAATGCCGCTGGGTCGTCTGTGTCTGGACCAAGCATTCGAACAATGAACGCCAGCAACTCTTTGCCAGTTGCCAACTGGTCAACAGTGCGTATGTATGTGTGTGTGTGTGTGGTGTGTGAGTGTGTGTGTGTGTAGGATAGAGCTTGTTGCTTTTTAATTAATAGAAAAGTCCTTTGTAGAGTAATAAATAAATATTATGCTTTTGCTTTTGCTTTTGCGCTTTTTTCGTTGCGTTCTCGTTTGCCACTCAGTACGTATACACACACACATATATACACACATATATATCTGCATATATATATAGGCAAGTGTGTTTGGGGTTCTTTGACTATCTGCTATCTGGCGGGTGCAAAGGGCGTAGCGCAACCCGTTAAAAGGCTTACAACTTTGTACACGTTTTTTTTTTTTCGCTCCTTCTTTCCATTAAGCCATGTGTTCCCATTGATTCCTATTGTGGCGCTGGCAGGATAATTGAGAAGGTTTTTAGGGCTGCTAATTGGAAAGCCAAAAGGCGTATAAATTCTCAGCAAAATTCTAATGGAATCATAAAAAATTGAAGAGCCAAAAAGGAGTATTTTATTTTTGATTTGCCCATTTTGTGATTACCACGCACACTGTGTGTGTGTGTGTCTAGCTGTGTGCTAGTGTGCATGGAAAATGCTTTCGCATGAATTTGTTGATATTTAAAATCATTTTGTGGCTGACTGATTTTTGGTTTCGACTTTCGGTCTAAACAGTGACGTTGACGGCCGCTTGGCAAATATTTGCCTAATATGTGGTTCAGGTTCTGGTTTTTGGTTTTCGGTTTCTGGCGCGAGCGGTTTTTGATTAGCTTTATTACTGTGTGCCAGCGCCGACACGCGCACCCTGTGCAGGTGGTGGTGGTTCTATTGCTAGTATGAGGTATGGGTGTGTGTGTGTGTGTGTGTGTAGGACTAATTAATGTGCTCGAATTGCGTGGGTAGGGGGAGCGTTTCAGCTTATTACACAAGCGCGTCAGCCAGCCAGCTAGCTTCACTATATACACTTTTTCATATTTCGCAAGCAAAAACAAAGCGTGCGTCGAAATATTTGTTTCCATGCTAATTAGCGGGTTAATTGGCTATAAGAACAGTCGCGAATGCTAGGCCCGTACTAAACCAATTGCCATAAGCAGCCAAGTGGCCGACACCGGCTTAAGCCAGCTTAGGCCATTGGCATTGCCTAATGCACGCAGCGGGGGGCTGCGGCGACAGCAGCGGCGGCGGTGGCTAATTGGCAACCCAACCTGGCCTAAACTATGGCTGCAAAGTGCACTTAAGTTGAGCGGCCCAGGCGTGCCATAAAATGGGCTTATATATAGGGCGCAACGCAGACGGAGAGGTGGAGGGACGGAGAGTACGCCGAGCTATGGGGGCAGGTGGTAGAGCCGTAATAGGTAAAGGTATAGTTAAGCTGAAGCTAAAAGATAAGTTGCAATAGGGCGAGATAGACATAAAGAGAGAGTGAGGAAGAGGGAGAGGAAGGGAGAGAGAGAGAGAGAGGAGGGGATAGAGAGAGCGTGCAGAGAAATATATAAAACTTACCAATTCCGCCAGCCAGCACGGTGCTCGAATCCAGTTTGGCCTTCTTTGTGGCCAGATCCTGATTATTATTGTCGGAAGCGGGCGCCATGACTGCAGCTTGACTCAAAAGTTCGTCGCTTCCGCGCTGCATGGCCACGATTCACAGTTATGCGCAACAAGACACAGAAGTATTCGCATTCGCATTCGCATTCGCATTCGCATTGGAGACACGAGATTTGATTTATTTATTTGGGGTTTTTTTTTTTGTGCAGCCAGCGGTTGGTATATTTTGTAGTTGTTGTTGTAGTTGTTATGTTAATAGATTGTGGTTGTAGTTGTAGTTGATGATGCAGAGGCACAGCACAGCAGAGAAGTTAAAGATGGTTTCAGTTTATTCAGTTGAGTTGAGTTGAGTTGAGTTGAATTGAATTGAATATGGTAGGCAAGTAGGCAAGTAGTTGTAGTTGTGTGTGTGTAGTAGATGAAGTATATACGATTACGGTACATAAAAAGAGAAAAATAAAAGAGAAGAGAACAATATAAATATTTAATATTTACGCAAGTTAAGTAAATTACAGCGAATCAGCTCAGATGAGCTCTTTGTAGTTGTTTAAGTTGTTTTTTTTTTTTTTTTTTTTTTGAAGTTGTAGTTGTAGTTGTTGTTATTGTTTTAGTTCTTTTGTTGTTTTTATTGTTCTGTGGCTGAATTTAGAGAAATTTGAGTGGCGCCCTCAAAACTGAGCTTTGCATTTTGTGTTCAGTAAATTGGATACGCTTGGGCGGGTTCTAGTTTAGTTTAGCTAACTAAGTCAACATAAGTGGGTGCGCTATAAATTCTATTAAATAATATACTACAGCAGGAGAGACGAGGGCAGCTTAAGCTCAGTGTGCAAACTAAAGCTACATTTTAGCATAGACTACATACATTCACATAAGAAATTTTACTAAGCATATTTCAGTTTTAATTAATTTATTATTATTGATTTAGTTAGTTATATAGAAAGAAATTTTTATTATAGCTTTAAATTGTTATGGTTAGTTCAATAATTTACAAATAAAATATATTTTATTGAATATACAAATTAAAAAAAAGAAAAATATAATCTGAGTTCTATTGTAGTCAACTGTAAAAGAAAATAAATTCATCAAAATAATTTAGAAAATAATATCGAACAGCTGAAGAGAGAATTTAATAAAAATTCTTTTTCTTATTTCTGTTGATGCTAAAGTTCCCATTCAGAACTGACTGAGCAACCCGCGCTCAGCTAATCAAAATTCGCACTCCACTGTTGCGCAAATAGACCCAAGTTCTATTTAAGTAAATCTGTTTGCGCTAATTCCCCTGGTGCAGCCTTTGGATAAACAAGCAGCGCGCGTTTTCTCATTTTTAGCCCCATCTTTTGATTTTATTATACCCTGAACCCATTTTCAATGGGAAATCAGGGTATAATGGTTTTGTTGAAATGTATGTAACAGGGAGAAGGAGGCGTGGCAGACCCCACAAAGTATATATATTCTTGATCAGGGTGACGAGCTGAGTTGATTTGGCCCTGTCCGTCTGTCTGTCCGTCTGTCCGTCTGTCCGTCTGTCCGTATGTATGAACGCGTCGATTTCAGAAGATATAAGAGCTAGAGACTTCAAATTTTTTTAAAATGTCCGTAATTACAGCGCGCATATCAAGTTTATCATTAAAAATCGATAACTCATCTCGATCTTTTTTATCGATAAAAAACCTTATCGAAACCCAGTTATAAAATTATATCTTCTACACCTTTATTGTTAGAGTCCCCAAATTTTTAATGTATGCTTATATGCAATTTATACAATTTCGGTTTTTGTTAAAATTTACCCCCACCTCTAAATTCACCCCCTCACCCTCACTTTTGTAAAAAGCGTATTTCAAATACTAGAGACTTGTGCTTTGGCAATTACATGCATATTCATGTTATAATCATAATCTAAAAGTTTCATGAAGATCGTACATCCATAAAAAAAGTTATTAAACAATTAAGTTCTCATAGTAAGCGCACACTGCAGCCCATGCGTGTTTATGCGTGGTTGCTTGTGTGTGTATGTGTTTGTGTATGTGTGTGTGTATGTGTGTGTGTGTATGCGTTTGTGTATGTATGCGTGTTTGCGTACGTGCGTGTGTGTGTGTGTGTGTGTGTGCTTTTGTGTAAGCTGAAAGTCGCGAAAAAGTATTGAAATATCTATTGTTCCAAGGGTTCAGGGGATCTCGTAGTCGAGCAGTCTCGACTAGAGCTTTCTTACTTGTTTTTATATGTTTTTTGTGGATTTTCTGTTTTATTAGTTGGGATTTGCGAGGGGCGAATAATTGCAAAAAAGCACACAGAATATTCATTGAAATTAAGCAGCAAATGCGGCAACTCACAGCAAGTGGTAAACGAAACGAACGAGGCTTGGCTTAGTTTTTGGTTTATCGCAAATGCTAAAAGCTAAGATTGACGCTAAACTCTAATTAGAAAGCCATGTTGCATGCGGCACATGCATAAGTGTATTGTAATTACATGTGACACTTAATTACCACACTCGTGAGTGCGGCAACAATGCCAATGGCAAAGACACAGTTAGAGCAGGAGACGGAGACGGAGACGCAGGAGTCGTAGTCGTAATCGTAGTCGGAGAGACAGAGCCACAGTGAAAGCCAAAGCCAGAGCCAGAGTTGGGCATCGAGAGTAACTAAGTTAAGCCAAACATTAAACGTAATGCGAGCTATAAAAATAAAGCTGCTGCCATGTGTGTGTGAGAGAGAGAGAAAGGGAGAGAGAGGAGAGATGGTTGCTGCTGCTGCTTCTGCTGCTTCTGTTTCTGGCTATTGCTATGCATTAGCAGCAATGACAAAAAGTCAATAAACGAGCAGCGCAGACAAAGGGGAAGGCCTCAGTCTCCTGCAGCACACGGTTGGCAAATTGAAAAGGGTAATTTTGTGTGAAGTAGGCACCTTTATACGATTACCAGGCAAGAGCAGGGCGAGGTGGGTGGAGAGTGGGGGCGTGCTCGGGTGCACTAGATGGCTGCTGGGATGGCTGACTTCTGGCTGTTGCTATCAATGCTGACTTCGCTTGAATTCGCCACTTAGCTTATCATCAGGCGGCGCTTTGCTTCACTGTTGTTGTTGTGGTTGGTGTTGTTGTTCTGCTTTTGTTATTTGTCGTTGGCTGTTTTCTGTTTGCTGTTTGGTTTTTATTTTTATGTGACTGCACGTTTTATGTACATAAAAGAATTAGCTTAAATACAAAAACAACATGTGGTAATAGTAATAATAACAAAGCCAAAACGCACGCACACTGAAATATATCAGCGGTGTGCAACACGACGACTGGGCGCATGTGTGTGTGCGAGTGTGTGTGAGTGTGTGTGTGTGTGATAGACAAAGCAACGGCAAAAACCGCAAAAGCACTTCACTTGATAATATCGCAGGCAGAGACAGACAGATAGACAGAAAGCCAGCAGGAGGCAGAAAGAGAGACAGAGAGAGAGAGCGAGAGTGAGCGAGATGGATGTTAAGGGAGAGTGAAATCGCGCAAAGCGCAGACAAAAAACCAACATGACACGCACACACGGGCTGAGCAAAACGAAAACGCGAAAGCCCTCAAACACACACACACACACGTACATCTATATAAATACATATATATGTGTAAGCGTGTGCGTGTACGTGTTTTTTGTGGCTTGTTGGTTGAGTAATGATATCAGAGAAGCTGTTGCTATTCCCGCCCGTCTGTCCGCCTGTCCGCCTGTCTCTCTGTCTGTCTATCTGTCTGTCTGTCGGTCTTGCTCTTTGTATTGTTATATGGGCACGGAGGCAGGAACATATGTTTTGGCTGTGCGTGCCATATGCTTGAAGGGATTTATAGCATGCTTTTTCGGGCGGCTTCCGGCTTCAGTGATGCAGCTCCTCATCATAGCTAACCTTCGCTGTGTCAAGGCAGACGCACGCGCCTTGCACAGCTGACAGAGCGACTGAGCAGGCGAGTAATTAAATTTTTTAAAATAATCTCCCCGGGCAATGCTGGGAATGGGGCAACTGGAATGCCGGCAATGTCTCTAATGCATTCGTTATGGCACATTAACGCTCCCAAATGCCGGCCAACTGGCATTCGCTGGGGATTTGCCGGGGTTCTCTCTGCGGATCATTGCATTACACGCTTCATGGGGCCAATGCCCCCCACTCGTATGGCATGGCACGGCACAGCACGGTACGGCATGGTACGTCACGGCTGCAACTGTTGCCTGAATCGCTCTGTGTGTGCCAAGCTGACCGGAAATGTTATTGTAATATGCTCGTATGGTCTGCTAAAAAGTATGCTAAATATTTGATTATGAACTGGGTCCCCGTCTGCGACGCGTGTGCACATATGGCCCCGGCTGATAAGCCCCGACTGGACCCAACTGCGGACTATTGTCCATTGTTGCCGTCCACTGACACTCTCTGGTGCGTTTTAATGAATTTTCCCAGAGCCTTTTTGCTTTCTATTTTCCATAAGCCGTTGCCCGTGGCCATTTCAGCTTCTGCTCTTGCTGCTGCTGCCCAGCTCCACACACACACACCCACACACCCACACACTGATTTCTATGATGACATGTGCCTTTTTACTCTTCACCCCCCACCCACCCCTCCTGCCATATTGCGGCCTCTTCTCTTTCAGCATGTTTCCTTTGCTTCCGCCTTTGTTGCCGGGTAACTGGGTCAGCGCGCAATTGTTGAAGGGCTGCCTGCTATTGCTGCTGCTGTTGTTGCTTCTTCTTCTTCTCCTTCTTCTTCTTGTACTATGGGGGGTTGCTGGTGCTGCTTCAGCCACTGTCGGACAGTCGCTGCCAGAGAGATAATCACGCATATGCCTAACGGTTAAGTTTTTGAAGTGCATGACGCCAACGGAAGCAGAGGGTGTCAGCATCATCAGCAACGGCAACGGCCACACATGTATTGGTGTCCTTTTTGCTTTTTGTTGTTGCCATTGTTGTAGTAGTAGTTGTTGTTGTTGTTGTTGTTATTGCTGTAATGAGCGTCACAGTCTGACATAGCTGATCCAATTTGGAAGCGGGTGGCAGTAGTCGTAGTAGTTGTTGGCATTTCTTTAATTTCTTGCTCCACATACAATTCTACCCTTTACTAAGCTTTA